AAAGAGATAGATAGAGAGAGAGAGAGAAGGAGAGAGAGAGAAAGGGAAAGAGAAGGAGTAGAGAGACAAAGAGATAGAGAGATGGAGAGAGAGAAAATAGAGAGATAGAAATAGAGCTATAGAGAGAGAGACAGACAGACAGAGAGAGGGAGAGATAGAGAGAAAGACAGATAGCAAGAGAGAGGGAGAGACAGTGAAAGAGATAAAGGGAGACAGATAGAGTGATAGAAAATAGAGATAGAGAGATAGAGGGTGAGAGAAAGATGGAAAGAGAGACAGACAAAGAGAGAGAGAGAGAGAGAGATGAAATCCTGTTCATGATCCAGGAGCAGATTATGTTTTTATATAAACAGAGGATTCAGACTTTTTCTTTCACACAGACAAATCAAATCCATCGTTCAAACAAACGGACGAGTTTTTGTGTCAATGATGCAAAAACATCTGTGTGTGTAAATCCAAAACGTCTCCAGTCGTCGCAGACCTGCTCGTTGTCTTCCATCTGCCCCACGTCCCGACCACACGCCTGTGCGATTCTCTTCCCCGCCACCAGGTTTCCCACGATCATGGAGGCCGGGCCCACCTCTGACAAAAACACACAAAAACAAACAAAACCAGGTTCAAATGTCTCGTTACGACGTTTTCACGATAAAACAGAACAGTGAATAAACTAATTTTTATTTTGAAAACGCCTCGACGGTGGTGGTGGGTGGTTGGTGGGTGGTGGTGGTTGGTGGTTGGTGGGGGTGGTGGTGGTCAGGTGGTTGGGTGGTTGGTTGGGTGGTTGGTGGTGGTGGTTGGGGGTGGGGTGGTTGGGGTGGTGGGGTGGTGGTTGGGTGGTTGGGTGGTGGTGGTGGGGGTGGTTGGGTGGTGGTGGGTGGTGGTTGGTGGTGGTCGGGGTGTGGTGGTTGGGTGGTGGTCGGGGTGGTGGGTGGTGGTGGGTGGTTGGTGGTTGGTGGTTGGTGGTGGGTGGTTGGTTGTGGTGGTGGTTGGGTGGTTGGGTGGGTTGGGTGGGTGGTTGGTGTTGGTTGGTTGGGTTGGTTGGGTGGTTGTGGTTGGTGGGTGTGGTTGGTGTGGTGGTTGTGTGGTGGGTGGTGGTTGTTGTTGGTTGGTGGTGGTGGGTGGTGGTGGGTTGGGTGGTTGGTTGGTGGTGGTTGGGTAGTTGGGTGGTTGGTTGGTTGGTTGGGTGGTGGTGGTTGGGTGGTTGGTTGGTTGGTTGGTTGGTTGGGTTGGTGGTCGGGTAGTTGGGTGGTTGGTTGGTTGGGGTGGTTGGTGGTGGTGGTGGTTGGTGGTTGGTGGTGGTTGGTTGGTTGGGTGGTGGTTGGTTGGGTGGGTGGTGGGTTGGTTGGGTTGGTTGGGTGGTTGGGGTGGTTGGTGGTTGGGTGGTTGGTTGGTTGGTGGTTGGGTGGTTGGTGGTTGGTTGGTTGGTTGGGTTGGTTGGGTGGGTGGTCGGGTAGTTGGTGGTTTGGTGGTGGTGGGTTGGTGGTGGGTGGTTGGGTGGTTTGGTTGGTTGGTGGTTGGTGGTTGGGGGTGTTGGTTGGTTGGTTGGGTGGTCGGGTAGTTGGGTGGTTGTTGGTGGTGGTGGTTGGGTGGTTGTTGGTGGTGGTGTGTTGGGTGGTTGGTTGGTTGGTGGTTGGGTTGGTTGGGTTGGTCGGGTAGTTTGGGTGGTTGGGTGGTTGGGTGGTTGGGTGGTTGTTGGTTGGTGGTTGGTGGTTGGTGTGGTGGTTGGGTGGTTGGTTGGGTGGTTGGTTGGGTGGTGGTCGGGTAGTTGGGTGGTGTTGGTTGGGTGGGTCGGGTAGTTGGGGTGGTTGGTTGGTTGGGTGGTTGGGTGGTTGGGTGGTTGGTTGGTTGGTTGGTTGGTGGGTGGTCGGTAGTTGGGTGGTTGGTTTGGTTGGTGGTTGGTGGTGGTGGTGTTGGGTGGGTAGTTGGTGGTTGGTGTGGGTTGGTTGGTGGTCGGGTTGGGTTGGTGGGGGTGGTGGTTGGGTGGTGGGTGGGTGGTTGGGTAGTTGGGTGGTTGGTTGGGTGGTTGGTTGGGTAGTTTTGGGTGGTTGGGTGGGTCAGGTGGTTGGTGGTCAGGTGGTTGGGTGGTGGTCGGGTAGTTGGGTAGTTGGTCGGGTAGTTGGGTGGGTGGTTCGGTGGGTGGTCGGGTGGTGGTGGTACCTGGCTGCTTCTGCCGGGGCTTGGGCAGGTTGGTGACGCAGGTGTGGGGGCACATGAGCACGTTGCAGGGGTGTAGCGCCCCCTCCAGGAAGCGCTGTTTGGTCTCAGAGATGTGGATCCCGCCCAGAGGAGCTTTGGGCAGAGTGTTGGCAGGAACCAGAGCCAGACAGTAAACGCCGACCTGATGGATGCTGTCGATGGCCTGAACACAAACAGAGAAGAGAGTCAAACATCACAACAGAACGGAGGAAAGATCAGGACATGTCAACCACTTCAAAATAAAGTCTGCTCAACCCTGAGTCTTTTTCACCGACTTCAATACAAGCATCAAGAATCTCAGACTTCCGGTCATCGCGCAATCCACACTGGGAAGGATCCTCCGAAAAAGTGAACGTCAAACCTCCATGTTTGTTTTCCCAGTGGGATTTTGTCTATTGTCAAAGTCGATCTTTTCAAGTCTTTTGAACCATATCACTTTTGTTTCTGGTTCTGATATTGTCATATTTTAGTTTTTGGGATTCGGACGTCGTTAATTGTTGTGGTTGTTGGATCCTAACAGCGGAAAACGACTCGAGAAATTTGTTTGCGAACTCCATAAATGTGAAAGTGAATCAGATGTGTGTGACTCAAACCTCTGTTCAAACTGTTTCTCTTCCCAACAGAATTGAAAAATGGTGAAAGGTGAAGGATTGATCCACAGGAAGAACCAAAAAGGAAACATTTGTCTAACTAAGAAATCATCCCGAGTTTGCAGAGAACATTTTGTATGTGGAGCGACGACAAAACAAAATCCTCCTTGACTCTAAATCCTAAAACAGTATTTCTCAGTTGTTAATCTCGTCTCTGTGGCTCTTTGGCTCTGACCTGCAGCACGCGGCTCATCCACTGGAAGCTGTCCTCCTCTGAGGCGTCCGGCCTCTGCTCCGCCACCACCACGATCCGGTCGTCATGGAGAACGGACACAGAGAAAACCGCCATCCTGCGCCGCACGAGGACAACGAGGACAACGAGGACAACGAGGACAACGAGGACAACAACAACAAGAACAAGAACAAGAACAAGAACAACTCAGGTTTAGGGGAAATTCACTCTCTACATTTGACCTCACGCTTCAACTGCAGCTGAAACAATCATCCTCCCTCCCTCCTCCTGTCCTTCTGTCCCTCCCTCTGTCCTTCTGTCTCTCCCTCTGTCCTTCTGTCTCTCCCTCTGTCCTTCTGTCCTTCTGTCTCTCCCTCTGTCCTCTGTCCTTCTCTCCCTCTGTCCTCTGTCCTCTCCTTCTGTCTCTCCCTCTGTCCTTCTGTCCTTCTGTCCTTCTGTCCCTCCCTCTGTCCTTCTGTCCCTCCCTCTGTCCTTCTGTCCTTCTGTCTCTCCTCTGTCCTTCTGTCTCTCCCTCTGTCCTTCTGTCCCTCCCTCTGTCCTCCCTCTGTCCTTCTGTCCCTCCCTCTGTCCTTCTGTCCTTCTGTCCCTCCCTCTGTCCTTCTGTCCTCCCTCTGTCCTTCTGTCTGTCCTTCTGTCTCCTCCCTTCTGTCCTCCCTCTGTCTCTCTCCCTCTGTCCTTCTGTCTCTCCCTCTGTCCTTCTGTCTCTCCCTCCTCTGTCCCTCTGTCCTTCTGTCCCTCCCTCTGTCCTTCTGTCCTCTCTCCCTCTGTCCTTCTGTCCCTTCTGTCTCTCCCTCTGTCTTCTGTCTTCTGTCCTCCTCTGTCCTTCTGTCTCCTTCTGTCCCTCTGTCCTTCTGTCCTTCTGTCCCTCCCTCCCTCTGTCCTTCTGTCCTCTGTCCTTCTGTCCTTCTGTCCCTCCCTCTGTCCCTCTCCCTCTGTCCTCCTCTGTCCTTCTGTCTCTCCCTCTGTCCTTCTGTCCCTCTCCCTCCCTTCTGTCCTCCCTCTGTCTCTCCCTCTGTCCTCCTCTGTCTCTGTCCTCTGTCCTCTGTCCTTCTGTCCCTCCCTCTGTCCTTCTGTCCCTCCCTCTGTCCTTCTGTCTCTCCCTCTGTCCTTCTGTCTCCTCTCCTCTGTCTCTCCCTCTGTCCCTTCTGTCCCTCTCCCTCTGTCCTTCTGTCCTTCTGTCCTTCTGTCCTCTGTCCTTCTGTCCTCTGTCCTTCTGTCTCTCCCTCTGTCCCTCTGTCCTCTGTCCTCCCTCTGTCCTTCTGTCTCTCCCTCTGTCCTTCTGTCCCTCCCTCTGTCCTTCTGTCCCTCCCTCTGTCCTTCTGTCCCTCCCTCTGTCCCTCTGTCTCCTCTGTCTCCTCTGTCCTCTGTCCTTCTGTCTCTCCCTCTGTCCTTCTGTCCCTCCCTCTGTCCTTCTGTCTCTCCCTCTGTCCTTCTGTCCCTCCCTCTGTCCTTCTGTCTCTCCTCTGTCTCTGTCTCTCCCTCTGTCTCCCTCTGTCTTCTGTCTCTCCCTCTGTCCCTCCCTCTGTCCTTCTGTCCTCCCTCTCTGTCCCTCCCTCTGTCCTTCTGTCTCTCCCTCTGTCCTTCCCTCTGTCCTTCTGTCTCTCCCTCTGTCCCTCTGTCTCTCCTCTGTCCTTCTGTCCTCTCCTCTGTCCTTCTGTCCTCTCCTCTCTGTCCTCTGTCCTCCTCTCTCTGTCCCTCTGTCCCTCCCTCCGTCCCTCCGTCCCTCTGTCCCCTGTCCCTCGTCCCTCCGTCCCTCCCTCCGTCCTCTTACCTTCCCCTGTAGACAAACTTCATGGGCTCCACGGCGAGCGCGGTGGCCACCACGTCGTCGGCGTTGTGTCTCCGTCCGCTCACGACCATCAGCCCGTCCAACTTCCCCACCACAAACACCAGACCGTCCTGAAGAACCAGCACGCGGGACGTCAGCTTTTTTTATTACTTCAGGCAGGTTTTTTGACGAAGAAACAACATTATAAAGTGGTAGAAAGTTTTAAAAAGTCATTGAAGTTCGTTGAAGTGGAGGAGAGAGGAGGAGGAGGAGACTGACCGGTCCGGTGAAGCCGAGCAGAGACGTCCTGGTGAAGACGCGCTCACACACCGGGACACCAGAGGGCGACACTGGGATCGTCTGGAATCAAAGAACGATTAAACATCAAACAACACAAACGAAGTGAAAGACGATGTACATGAGCTCGTTTTTTGTCTAATAAAGCAGAATTTGTGTGACCAAAACTGAGGTACAAATCATGTTACAGAAAGAGAGAGAAAGACGAGGCACAGAGAGAAAGAGATAGAGAGATAAAGAAAACAGAGAGATAGAAAAAATACAGTACATCAAATCAAGATTTCTACGGATACTTACAATTAAGGCATTATTTGGAGCATGACATAATAAGGGATAACTATGAAGGACAACCAGAAATGATTAATTTGTTTATATTAGCTCACAAATCTAAACTAAGTAAAAAAAAATTGTTTCAAAGATATATATAGGGTTGGAAAATTTAAAAAGGGATGATACACAATACATAAGGAGGAAATGGAATGTGGAAGCTAATATTAGCCTAACAGAGGAAGATTGGGAAGAGATACTCAAAATATTTGGAAAACAACATCATCTTTAATGTGGAGGGAATATGGTTGGAAAAATCTGATGAGATTTTTCAGAGCACCGGCTCAGACAAAATATCGAGACACAAGATGTTGGCGACAGTGCGGGGAAATGGTTGAAGTCATATACATATTTTCTGGACACGTCCTCTAATACAACGTTATTGGAAAGAACTGAAGAACGTTATGGACGTGGTCCTACATACTGACCTCCCTTTTACCTGGGAAGTCTTTTATTTTGGCAAACTGGATGCAAATGTTAAAAACAAAATTAATTTCAAGATATTTAAAATCATGATGCTGGCAGCAAAAAAAGGTATTACAAGGAAATGGTTAAATGCTGAAGCACCGACAAAAGACAATTGGGTTGATGTAATTCATGATATTTATGTTATGGAGAAATTAACTTATGCTCTAAGATTAGAAACAGAGAAATTCGAAAAGATATGGAAGGGTTGGCTGAGTTTTGTTAAAACGATACGTTTAGATTTTATTTGAGGGCTCATTTCCCCAATGTTCAGTTCGCTACCAAATTAAGGTTTTTTTTTTTTTGTTTTTTTTCCTTTCTCTCTTTTCAATATAATAGTAAAAATCTGTATTTTATTTGGAAGATTAAGTTTAAGACAATGTTTGATCCTTAAACAATATTTGCATATGTGTAAGTGTAATAATTGTCTTGGAAAATTAATTAAACAAATAATATAAAAAAAAAAAAAAAAAGAAAAAATACAGTAGAGAGAGATATAGAGATAGAGAGAGACAGACAGACAGATAGAGAGATTGAAAAAAATACAGAGATAGAGAAAACAGAGAGAGTGAGAGAGATAGAGAGTGACATCACAAAGTGGACCAGAGTGTTTTCAGTTTGAGAGAAGAAGTCTAAATGTGCAGGTTTGTGTGTCGAACGTGTGTGAATGAAACAAAACGCAACTCCAGGTCCGTGTGTGACGAGGAAACGACATTTTAACATGACGTAGAGCTCACAGGCAGAGGCGGTGCTACCATTAGGCGAAAACAGGTGGCTGCCTGGGGCCCCCAAACCTGGAGGGGCCCCCAAACCTGGAGGGTCCCCAAACAATTGCCCTCAGTGCTACTAATGGCCAAGGCCTCAGAGCAATTTGATTTTCTCAATAAATCATAACAAAAATAATAATAAACACATATAATGGATGTAAACAGAAATGTAACTGTACTAGCAAAAAAAAAACAAAAAAAAAAACTTCTTTCAGTTCTAGTTATCTAGTCCAGTGTTTCCTAAACTTTTTTTTTCTGGGGACTCATATTTTAAAAGTCACAAATCTTCACAACCGAAGTAAATAGATATTATTCATAAATCACAAAATAAAGGTGGATTTGACATTTATTGAACATTAATGCGGATATTTTATTGTTGACTGAGTGATCGTGTCTCTGAACAATTAGTATTGCCGCATTTTTCAGATTATAAGGCGCTCTTTTATTACTTTTTTATTTCCTGCGAGGACGATTCAAATATACACTGCGTAATAATGTGGTTAATTCAGCTTTGCGCGTATTTGTTTACGTTTTACAGAAACGAAACTTAAAACCACATGACTCATTTGCATAAACTATAAGAACTATGAAACTATAATAAAAACAGCTCTTTCCTTGTGCGCTGATGTGGTTCAGCTTCTGTCGGACTAAAGAACACAACTCAGTGGGATATTTGTGAAAATCGGTTCGAGAACAGTAAGCACAAGCAGAATTCATACATGAGGCGCACTGTCGATTTTGGAGAATATTCAGAGATTTTAAGTGCGCCTGTTAGTCTGAAAAATACGGTACTCAAGTTTTAAACAAGGAAAAACAGTCATCAGAGTTTCTCACAGAAAACTGGTTAGTCAAGGCGGTGCTGCCGGAAAAGTGAGGAGCGAGGGATGCACGGAGGTTTTCTGTGTCCAGTACGTTCAGATCGTGACAAAGCGACCCAAAAAAAATCTCCTGCGACCCACCTGAGGGTCACGATCCAGTCTTTTGGGAAACTGATTTAGTAAGGTTCCAAACTAATAATACAAGTTTCCAATCCAGCATAACTCAAAAAAATAAAGATGTTTATGTGTCAAGAACGGTGAGGAAACACAGACAATAATTATATACTAAAAAAACAAAACATAAAAAGGTGCGTTATTGTAGTAGGTTGAAAAAATGCTGTATTTAAGTTTTATATGGAAACAGACACCCCCTCTATTTTGTTGAATGATTCCTAGCGTGGCTTTTGTTTTGGGTGCAGTACATACTCCGACCAGTAGAGGGTGCCGTTAGCGCTACTGTGGGGACTAGGGGAACACGGCGTAGGCGCAGCTTCAGAATTAAACAAGCTGTGACCAGACTCACGTGTCTCCTCTCCGTCCATTCACAGGTACGATTTGAAGAGTTGTTTTGTTGACTCAGACTTGGTTCAGACACATTTTTGTTCGTTGTGTAAAGGTTTTCAAAAAGTTTCAGAGAGTTTAGCCAACATTAGCAATGTATTTTTGGTACTATTTCTAATTTCTACCCATTTCTAGCGTCAGTTACGTTATCGCTACTGAACTGCTTAGGACTTATTTCAAACTATATGTATTTATTTGCATTTTATGGATTATTTTATTGTCTGTTAGTATTTGTTTATTTACTTATGTAATTTATTGTTTTGTCAATTATATAATTTTGGAGAGATTGAGCCAATCGAAATGAAATGAGAAAGAAATGAATGATTTTCAGAATTAAACAAGCTGTGACCAGACTAACGTGTCTCCTCTCCGTCCATTCACAGCAACACCACACCTTTAGGCCACACAGTTTAACCTTAACTGTGCCACTTGCTACCGCCCAGCTTTCCCCTAGGGCGGCGCCGGGAACATTATAGTGAGGGCCTTAAATTCAAGTTCGCCCACGGCCCCAAATTTGTAACTCCGCCTCCGCTCACAGGAGTCGGTTTTGTTTGGATGATTTTTAAAACCAAATCTACAGAGACGGAGACGAACCTCGAAGACGTTCTTGGTCATCCCCGGCAGGCCGTAGTAGGTCACCCCCGAGGTCCTGGAGCTGACGCAGATCTCCCCCACCTCATCGGTCTGACAGAGGAGAGGAGGCCCGTCCACACGCACCACGCACACCACCGCTGCACACCACAGCGCACACACCACAGCGCACACACCACAAGACGAAAGAACACAGAAAAAGAAAAAGATTCGAGTTCTAGTTACGGATTGTGGTTTTAAATACATGAATTTCATTTGTTCAGTCGTTTTTCAAAATAAAATCAAAAATAAGAAAATTTGGAAAAAAAAACAACTATTTTCTTCATTATTTGTCTCCAAAACCAAAATAAAAACAGATAATGATTCTTTTTTTTTTTTTTCAGTTTTAGATTTTGTATTTAAATGAAAAATGGAAAATACGGATAACAGACTGAACTGAACAGACAGACTAAACCAGGACTAAATCAGGACTGAACCAGGACTGAACCAGGACTAAACCAGGATTAAACCAGGACTAAATCAGGACTGAACCAGGACTAAATCAGGACTGAACCAGGACTGAACCAGGACTAAACCAGGATTAAACCAGGACTAAATCAGGACTGAACCAGGACTGAACCAGGACTAAATCAGGACTGAACCAGGACTAAACCAAGATTAAACCAGGACTAAATCAGGACTGAACCAGGACTGAAACCAGGACTAAATCAGGACTGAACCAGGACTGAACCAGGACTAAACCAGGACTGAACCAGGACTAAACCAAGATTAAACCAGGACTAAATCAGGACTGAACCAGGACTGAACCAGGACTAAATCAGGACTGAACCAGGACTGAACCAGGACTAAACCAGGACTGAACCAGGACTAAACCAAGATTAAACCAGGACTAAATCAGGACTGAACCAGGACTGAACCAGGACTAAATCAGGACTGAACCAGGACTAAACCAGGACTAAACCAGGACTGAACCAGGACTAAACCAAGATTAAACCAGGACTAAATCAGGACTGAACCAGGACTGAACCAGGACTAAATCAGGACTGAACCAGGACTAAACCAGGACTGAACCAGGACTAAACCAGGACTGAACCAGGACTGAACAGGACTGAACCAAGATTAAACCAGGACTAAACCAGGACTAAAACCAGGACTAAACCAGGACTGAACCAGGACTAAACCAAGATTAAACCAGGACTGAACCAGGACTAAACCAGGACTGAACCAGGACTGAACCAGGACTAAACCAGGACTGAACCAGGACTAAACCAAGATTAAACCAGGACTAAACCAGGACTGAACCAGGACTGAACCAGGACTGAACCAGGACTAAACCAGGACTGAACCAGGACTAAACCAAGATTAAACCAGGACTAAATCAGGACTGAACCAGGACTGAACCAGGGACTGAACCAGGACTGAACCAGACTGAACCAGGACTAAACCAGGACTGAACCAGGACTAAACCAAGATTAAACCAGGACTAAATCAGGACTGAACCAGGACTGAACCAGGACTGAACCAGGACTGAACCAGGACTAAACCAAGATTAAACCAGGACTAAATCAAGATTAAACCAGGACTAAATCAGGACTGAACCAGGACTGAACCAGGACTGTGTGGGTCTTACCTCCGGGCAGGACTTGTCCCACGTCCTGCACGGTGAGGACAGAGAGCTTCTCCTCGGTGTCGACTCGGATCACGCCGTAACTCAGACTGGACATGGACAGAACGGCTTTTCCAGGAGGAGGGACCCCGGAGTCTGGAGGCCTGCAGACCACAGACACACTAATAAAGACAAGACTGTTTTTTCTTTAAGGTTTTAGATTTGAAAAGAAATGAGTTACAGTGAAAATGACTAAAATATTTGGAATAATTCTTTCTTCCTCTGCTTTTTCCTTCACCTTTCCCTATTTTCCTCCTTTCTCATCCTTACTTCCATCCATCCATTTTCTTCCGCTTATCCGGGGTCGGGTCTTGAGGGCATCAGTCTAAATAGAAATTCCCAGACTTCTTTCACCCCAGACACTTCCTCCATCTCCTCCAGTGGGACCCCGAGGTGTTCCCAGTCCAGTCCAGAGACATCGTCCCTCCAGTGTGTCCTGAGTCTTCCCTGGGGCCTCCTCCCGGTGGAACATGAACACCTCCTGAGGGACACGTCCAGGAGGCATCAGAACAGACGCCCGAGCCTCAACTGGCTCCTCTCCACGTGGAGGAGCAGCGGCTCTAGCAGCTCCTGGTTCTTCCCAAAGTCAGGACACACACTCACGGAGAGGAGGAGACTTTCCAGAACTACGGTCCTCGTCTATGGACCTGCAGCCGGAGGAGCTCAGGGTCCAAGAGAACGTTCATGTTTTTAAGAGCAGAATCAACACCCACCTTTTTAACTCAGCTTTTGATTGAAATCTTATACTTTTACTTGTTTCTACTGTACACATTTGATTATATTTATTCATTTTAGGCATATTTTTAGGATTTCCAGTGTTTCTTGTGTAGGAGCGTCTGCATCAGGAGTGGAGGTCGGCTGTGGCTGTCGGGTCTGTCCTGTGGGCTCCTGGTGGAGGGTTGGTGCTTGGGCTTCATCTCTCCCCTGGCTCCTGTGGTGGTTCCTGGTGGAGGTGGACGTCTCTCTGCTCCTGTGGTGGTTCCTGGTGGTGGTGGACGTCTCTCTGCTCCTGTGGTGGTTCCTGGTGGTGGTGGACGTCTCTCTGCTCCTGTGGTGGTTCCTGGTGGAGGTGGACGTCTCTCTGCTCCTGTGGTGTGTTCCTGTGGTGGTGGTGGTGGACGTCTCTCTGCTCCTGTGGTGGTTCCTGGTGGTGGTGGACGTCTCTCTGCTCCTGTGGTGGTTCCTGGTGGTGGTGGACGTCTCTCTGCTCCTGTGGTGTTTCCTGGTGGAGGTGGACGTCTCTCTGCTCCTGTGGTGGTTCCTGGTGGAGGTGGACGTCTCTCTGTGGTGGTTCCTGGTGGTGGTGGACGTCTCTCTGTGTGTGGTTCCTGGTGGTGGTGGACGTCTCTCTGTGGTGGTTCCTGGTGGAGGTGGACGTCTCTCTGTGGTGGTTCCTGGTGGTGGTGGACGTCTCTCTGTGGTGGTTCCTGGTGGAGGTGGACGTCTCTCTGCTCCTGTGGTGGTTTCCTGGTGGAGGTGGACGTCTCTCTGTGGTGGTTCCTGGTGGATGGTGGACGTCTCTCTGCTCCTGTGGTGGTTCCTGGTGGTGGTGGACGTCTCTCTGCTCCTGTGGTGGTTCCTGGTGGTGGTGGACGTCTCTCTGCTCCTGTGGTGGTTCCTGGTGGTGGTGGACGTCTCTCTGCTCCTGTGGTGGTTCCTGGTGGTGGTGGACGTCTCTCTGCTCCTGTGGTGGTTCCTGGTGGTGGTGGACGTCTCTCTGCTCCTGTGGTGGTTCCTGGTGGTGGTGGACGTCTCTCTGCTCCTGTGGTGGTTCCTGGTGGTGGTGGACGACGTCTCTCTGCTCCTGTGGTGGTTCCTGGTGGTGGTGGACGTCTCTCTGCTCCTGTGGTGGTTCCTGGTGGTGGTGGACGTCTCTCTGCTCCTGTGGTGGTTCCTGGTGGTGGTGGACGTCTCTCTGCTCCTGGTGTAGAAGCTCCTCTGATGCTGCTTTTCTCAACTGGTTCACCTGGATTCAGCCTCACATTTTACTACAGGTGATTTTATGTATTTTACCATGTTTGTGTGTCTGTGTGTGTGTGTGTGTGTGTGCGTGTGTGTGTGTGTGTGTGTGTATGTGTGTATGTGTGTGTGTGTGTGTGTGTGTTGTCTGGTTGGTGGATGGAAATGTGGGATTGTTTTTAATCACTGTAAAACACTTTTGTTACATTCTTGTATGAAAAGCGTTTTCTAAATAAAGTTTGATTTGATTTTGATTTGATTTTCCTCACTCCGTCTCTAAGGGAGACGCCCAGACGCCCTGCGGAGGAAACTCACTTGTGTCGCTTGTATCGTCGATCTGGTCCTTTCGGTCGTTTCCCAGAGTCATGACCAGAGGTGAGGGACAAAGACACTAAATCGAGAGTCGTCATCCTTATTTCTCACTCCCTTATTTTTATGAACTCTTCCAGACCAATGGTACAGACATGTTTTACAGAACCGCCCATAACTTTCTAACCATAAAAGATAGGACTAAAATGCACTTCCGTTTCGTTTTGTTTTGTAAACGTATAAAATTTTCAAACACACACAAAAATAAAGTTAAAAAAAAAAAAAAAGATAGGACTAAAAGATCATTTTTGTCACACTTGTGTCTTTCCGAGAATATTTCCGTCTTTCTCCTACGTCACACCCGGGAAAACGAGTGTCCATCAAAAGAAACAGAAAACACACACCAACATTCTTGTAGAGATGCAAATGCAAAGAGCAGCCAGACAAAAGTGAAAAAAATGCATAACACACTCAGATGTCCGATGTCCAGAAGGAAGCAAGAAAAATATCTGATGAAGGTTTTTTCTTGCCGAAACGTTATTTTGAAAATAAACAAGCTTTTGGACATCGGCCGTCTGAGTGCCGTGCATTTTGTCCAACAGGAACTTTGTCTTCCGCCAAACTCAGTCGCTCCGTTCATTCTGATTGGCCCAAACTTTACCAAACAGCGTAGTGAGTCAAAATGTTCGATGCTCTGAGCGTTACTCCAATTTTCACCGGTGACATACGCACTTTGGTCTTCAGTTTTATTTTCTTTAACTGTTTTGGTACCGATGTTTACGGTTTCTTTTGTTATTTCATTATAAAATCCACATTTGCGCTGTGATAATGTGACAGAGTGAGGCGCAGTGGCGGTGTGTGACCTGCGGATGGCGACGGTGAGCGCCTCAGACGAGCAGGCGCACGGGCAGATCACCTCCGGCCTCAGACCTCGGTTCTGGAAAACGTTTACGAAAGCGTCGCACGAAGAGATGGACCCTGAAGAGGAGGAGGAGAGATTAAAGACAAGACCAGAACTAAGGACTAAACCAGAACTAAACCAGGACTAAACCAGGACTAAACCAGGACTAAACCAGGACTAAACCAGGAACTAAACCAGGACTAAACCAGGACTGAACCAGAACTAAACCAGAACTAAACCAGAAGTAAACCAGGACTAAACTAGGACTGAACCAGGACTAAAAAAGGACTAAACCAGGCCTGAACCAGGATTAAACCAAGACTAAACCAGGACTAAACCAGAACTAAACCAGGTCTAAACCAGGACTAAACCAGAACTAAACCAGGACTAAACCAGAACTAAACCAGGACTAAACTAGGACTGAACCAGGACTAAACCAGGTCTAAACCAGGACTACTGAACCAGAACTAAACCAGAAAGGACTAAAAAAGGACTGAACCAGGACTAAAAAAAGGACTAAACCAGGCCTGAACCAGGACTAAACCAAGACTAAACCAAGACTAAACCAGGACTAAACCAGGACTGACCCAGGATTGAACCAGGACTGAACCAGGACTAAACCAGGACTAAACCAGGACTAAACCAGGACTAAACCAAGACTAAACCAAGACAACTAACCAGGACTAAACCAGGACTGACCCAGGACTGACCCGGGATTGAACCAGGACTGAACCAGGACTAAACCAGGACTAAACCAGGACTAAACCAAGACTAAACCAAGACTAAACCAGGACTAAACCAGAACTAAACTAGGACTAAACCAGTAGAAGACCAGGACTAAACTAAAACTAAACCCAGACTGAACCAGGACTAGACCAGGACTAGACCAGGACTAAACCAGGACTAAAGCAGGACTAAACCAGGACTAGACCAGGACCAGACCAGGACTAAACCAGGACTAAACCAGGACTAAAGCAGGACTAAACCAGGACTAGACCAGGACCAGACCAGGACTAGACCAGGACTAGACCAGGACTAGACCAGGACTAGACCAGGACTAAACCAGGACTAAACCAGGACTAAAGCAGGACTAAACCAGGACTAAAGCAGGTCTACTCACAGGGGTTGGCTCCGTCTGCTACGATGAGCATGCGCAGGCAGCTCAGACTCAAGTCTCTCTGTTCCCTTTGGGCCAGAAGAGACCAGTGCATGTCCCTGGACTTCACCACGGCCACGACCGCTGCACACAGGACAGGGTCAATACACACAAAAATACTACTACTACTACTACTACTGTTACTACTACTACTACTACTACTACTACTACTACTACTACTACTACTAGTCTAACTATTATACAGACGTACAATATAAGGATGAATTACTATATTGAAACGCTGTGATATTTTTTGGCTGTATAAGGAGGTTTAAGACATAAAAGGTTGAATAAATAACTTTTTTTTCAACAATATTGGACATTTAGAATCATTTTTGTGTTTTTTTTCCCTCTGTCAGACAAATAAAATATGTCATATGTTTAAATGAAGCTCATCGAGGCCAGCGGTTATAGGAGTGAATTTGTTGAGTTCCTTATTAGGAAAAGGAATTTATTGTGCATGTGTGTGTGTGTGTGTGTGTGTGTGTGTGTGTGTGTGTGTGTGTGTGTGTGTGTGTGTGTGTGTGTGTGTGTGTGTGTGTACGGACGTGTGTATGGGTGTGGGTGTGTGTACAGACATGTGAGCAGACATGTGTATTGACACATGTTTGGACCTGTGTACGGACGTGTGTGTGTGGTGGTCTGTGTGTAGTGATCCGTGTGTCGTGGTCTGTGTGTCGTGGTCTGTGTGTGTAGTGGTCTGTGTGTGTAGTGCTCTCTGTGTGTCGTGGTCTGTGTGTGTGGTGGTCTGTGTGTGTAGTGATCTCCATGTGTGTCGTGGTCTGTGTGTGTGTGGTCTGTGTGTGTCGTGGTCTGTGTGTGTAGTGATCCGTGTGTCGTGGTCTGTGTGTGTAGTGGTCTGTGTGTGTCGTGGTCTCTGTATGTGTGTCGTGCTCTGTATGTGTGTCGTGGTCTGTGTGTCGTGCTCTGTATGTGTGTCGTGTCTGTCTGTGTGTCGTGTCTGTGTGTGTCGTGTGTCTGTGTGTGTCGTGGTCTGTGTGTGTCGTGGTCTGTGTGTGTCGTGGTCTGTGTGTCGTGCTCTGTATGTGTGTCGTGGTCTGTGTGTGTCTGTGTGTGTCGTCTCTGTATGTGTGTGTCGTGGTCTCTGTATGTGTGTCTCTCGTGGTCTCTGTATGTGTGTCTGTGTGTGGTCTCTGTATGTGTGTCGTGCTCTGTATGTGTGTCGTGTCTCTGTATGTGTGTCGTGGTCTCTCTGTATGTGTGTCGTGGTCTCTGTATGTGTGTCGTGCTCTGTATGTGTGTCGTGCTCTGTATGTGTGTCGTGGTCTCTGTATGTGTGTCGTGGTCTCTGTATGTGTGTCGTGCTCTGTATGTGTGTCGTGCTCTGTATGTGTGTCGTGCTCTGTATGTGTGTCGTGGTCCGCGTGGGTCGTGCTCTGTGTGTGTCGTGCTCTGTGTGTGTGTCGTGCTCTGTATGTGTGTCGTGGTCTGTGTGTGTCGTGGTCTGTATGTGTGTCGTGGTCCGTGTGTGTGTCGTGGTCTGTGTGTGTCGTGGTCTGTATGTGTGTCGTGGTCTGTATGTGTGTCGTGGTCCGTGTGTGTCGTGGTCCGTGTGTGTCGTGGTCCGTGTGTGTCGTGGTCTGTGTGTGTGTGGTGTCGTGGTCCGTGTGTGTCGTGGTCCGTCGTGTGTGTCGTGGTCTGTGTGTGTCGTGGTCCGTGTGTGTCGTGGTCCGTGTGTGTCGTGGTCCGTGTGTGTCGTGGTCTGTGTGTGTCATCACCTTTAAAGACGTGGACTTTCTGGATCCAGGACAGAGGATTGACCTTCATCAGGGAGTAGGGGATACTGACCACATGGAGCCTCTTCCACACACTCTGAACAACAACACAACAACACACAAACATTTACAAAACACACAAACATTTACAAAACAAAAACACACAAACATTTACAAAAAAAACACACAAACATTTACAAAACACACAAACATTTACAAAAAAAAAAAAAACATACAAATATTTACAAAAAAAAACACACACACAAACATTTACAAAAAAAAACACACAAACATTTACAAAAAAAAACCACACAAACATTTACAAAAAAAACACACAAACATTTACAAAAAAAAACACACAAACATTTACAAAAAAAACACACAAACATTTACAAAAAAAACACACAAACATTTACAAAAAAAACACACAAACATTTACAAAAAAAACCACACAAACATTTACAAAAAAAACACACAAACATTTACAAAAAAACCACACAAACATTTACAAAAAAAAACACACAAACATTTACAAAAAAAAACCACACAAACATTTACCGTCTACACAACTTCAACTGAGTCCTACACACACACAGGTAGAAACGCCAAAAAACTGTTTTCAAGTACGAGGAACGAAATGTATTTGGGAAAATTACTACTGAAGTAATAAACACAAACGTTCAAATTATTTTATATTTTCACATAAAGAAGCGTTTGTCACTTTAAACTGACTCACAGTGAAGAGGAAGCACAACTTTTACTCTTTTAAATACGAGTACTGTTACTTCAATAAAAATATACTTCAAGAAGGGGTAAAAGCGTGATGCCAGAAAAGTACTCTGAAAGTATAATTTCATAAAAAAGTTACTCAGGTAAAAGTAAATGTAACTAAGTTCTACACACCTCTGGTTTGCCGGATAAAGAAATATTTTAATGTAACGTAACGTAACCTAAAAATGTCTCGGCAACAAACTAAAGAGGCACAGGATTAAACAAGGTCCAGACGAGATCTAAACTCAACCAGGACTAAAGGCCCGTTCAGACCGTGAGTTTGGACGTCCCAGATGCAGTCCTGGTCCAGTCCTGGTCCAGTCCTGGTCCAGTCCTGGTCCAGTCCTGGTGGCTCAACAGTTGCAGTGTATATATTTATTCTCTGCTAATGTTTGTGGCTCTGGTTCTCGGGTCTTTCTCTTTCTTCTGGATAATAACGTTGCTTCGTCTCTGGACGCTCGTTCAAAAGTCCAAGAGTTCAGCATTTTCAACTTCTGACGCCGACAGCCTGGACGCCCCGGACTGAATGAGCCTTAACATGGCACATAATCGCAAAACTATTTAACCAGCACTCAGCCTACACTGCCAAAAAATGTAACATAAAAACTTAAATCTATATGAAAATGACTTAAAAGTAGAGAAATGATCTGTCCATGCAGCAAGATCATTTTACTTGACAAGTTCTCTTAAAATAAACGACCTCTAGACAAAAATGAAGGATCTCAGAACTAATAAGTCGATAATAAATCTGAAAACAAGATGAATAACGTGATATAAGTTTTAAAATCTTCCCCAGATCAGAGAAATTTCAAGAACTAAACCCGGACTGAAGAAGCACCGGATTAAACCAGGTCTAAATCAGAACTCAACCAGGACTTGTGTAAAAAAAGCGCCTCATGTTTCAGGATTATCACATCGTTTCCACGTCCCTGAGCTCGTGTCAGACTCAAACTTTTACATGAACTGTTGAATTATCTGGTGTGCTTCTCACCGTCAGGACGCCGTGCCATAATCCGGCCTCTCGTTTGAAATCCAGGACGTTGGTGATGGTCTCGCCTGGAAAAAAAAAACACAGTTTGAAATCGTGTCCTCTGCACTTTTCCCGCTGTGGCTCTGTAATCCTGACGGACGCAGAGTCGGAGGAGGAGGAGGAGACGAGGAGAGTTTGGAGGAGACTCTAGAGGATAAAACTGTTATGTAAAAGTAAAACCGTCTTGTTTCCATGGAGATTTTTGTCTAAAAAGTTCCACTATACAGTTTATCTATCGTGGAGACGGGCAGGGGATCGCGTCAGACTGAACTACACGTCTGGAAATCCCACTCACAGTAAAAATGCATCTTTATTTTTCTCCCCTTAATGCAGTTTTTATTATTTATTTTTTATTGTAAACGTCTGTTGTTCACTGGCTTTTATTTTGAAGAGGTCGTGAGCGAGTCTAGAGTGTTTCTTACTGCTGCGGCGCTCACAGGAAACACAGAGAAACAAAGTGGGATAAACAAACATGGAGAAGGGTGAGGAACTTTTACACGGCCATTTTCATTTTAAAGTTCTTCCAGACGGTGCAGTCGACACAAAGTCATTTGTAAAACTGCAACACTGAACTGTCTTAAATCTGTGTATCATTCGTTCATTCGTTTTTCAATATAAAACCAAAAAATAAGAAAACGAAAAAACAACAGTTTTCTTCGTTATTTGCCTCCAAAACCAAAATGAAAAAACGGATAACGATTTGTTTTTTCAGTTTTCGATTTTGTGTTTAAATGAAGAATGGAAAAAACGGATAACGGCCGTTTCCCGTTTACGTGACTTACGTCAACTTTTGCACCGCGTACGGACTAAACCAGGACGGATCCAGGTCCGAGACCAGACCGGGACTAGAGCAGGACCAGAGTGGACTCCGAGCTTTGACTCCGAGCCTGAGCTTCGAGCTCCGGCCCTGCCGTGGGCTCTGAGCCTCCGGTCTGGTCCCGGTCTGGTCCTGGACCTGGTCCATTTGAACCAAAAGCTCTTAGTTCGGTTTGTTTTCGTTGGTGTGAAAGTGTCAGTTTGATGTTTTGCTCCACCTCGGAACCAGTCGTGGTTCTTGAGTGTGGAGGACCGGAGCAGCTCGTCCGGACCTGTAGTCCACAGAACATTCTCACTTTTCCCGCACGGAACCAGCGCACAGACGATGACACAGAACCACTCGGACCACTGGTCCCGGTCTCAGTCCCGGTCTCAGTCCCGGACCTGGATCAGTCCTGGTTCAGTTCCGTACGCGGTGCAAAAGTTCGGCATCGCAGTCACGAAAGTCACGTAAACGGGAAACGGCCGTTATCCGTTTTTTCATTTTGGTTTTGGAGGCAAATAACGAAGAAAACTGTTGTTTTTTCGTTTTCTTATTTTTTTGGTTTTATATTGAAAAACGAATGAACAAATGACACACGGTTTGTCTTATTACCGCAGTTTCACGAGTCTGAAATATCACCTAAATGCAACACACTCTGCTGATGTTGACAAATCATTCAACGAAACAAGTGGAGAGGCTTCGGCAACACGTCAGACGCAACATGTCAGATGTACATGACACAGAGCACGTAGAGCACCAAGAGCTTTCAGGGGCACCGCCGTGTAGTCCAGCACTCTTCCATCGTAATTCAGTTCATTAAGTCAAATTCTAAATAGTGGAAAAACTGCACTGACATTTGTTCTTTTTTTGAGTGAGATTCTCCAAATACAATAATAGAACATGGACTTTAGAGACGAGTGTCCTGCTGATGTATAAAGAAATGTTCTGCTACAGATGTGGCACTTTCATTTACATTTACAATAAAAGTCGCTGTACGTGACTTTTGAATTCATTTATTGGTTTTGCGTATAACATGTGATTAATCATGATTAATCACATGAGAATAAGATTTTTTATTTTTGCCCAGCCCTAGTTTAGAGCAAAAAAAAACACCTGAAACTTCTTGGGTTCTTTTTAAAGACAACACAGACTGTATTGTCTCTAAAAAGAACCCAAGAAGTTAAAGTACATAAGACGACAAAATGAACATCTCTGACTCAAAACACTTATACTTCATATACCTGCTGTACAGATGAATAAATGCTGTATTGTGGAACATTCCAGGCAAATCAATAAATCTCCATGGAGACGAGGAGGTGGAGCTGGTGGGTGTAAATAAATAGATTTTTGAAAAAATATTTGATGAATTGTTTTCATTAAAACAGTTGTAAAATCAACACGACAGAATCAAAACTTTGTTCTGTGTCGCGTCTGGAGGAAGATTCGTCTCCTGCATCAAATAAATGACTCATGAAAAAATCCTGACAGATGTTTTCCTGCTGCAGATTTCCTGCCAAAGCTCATATTGAGGAAAATAAAATATCATGTAGTACAAATATACATCTGTTTCAGAGATAATAAAACCCAAACAGACGGTGAAAACAGATTTGAATGAAAGTGTCTGACCTTCAGTGTAGCTGCAGGACTGTGACAGGGACTGACAGTGAGACAACATGGCCGCCTGAGACACGCTCACGCCCATCGTACTGCCCTCTTTACTCGTCTTGTACTGGACACAAACACCACTGTTACACACTGGACCAGAGTCTGACCCTGGACCAGAGTCTGAGCCTGGACCAGAGTCTGAGCCTGGACCAGAGTCTGATCCTGGACCAGAGTCTGAGCCTGAACCCTGGACCAGAGTCTGAGCCTGAACCCTGGACCAGAGTCTGAGCCTGAACCCTGGACCAGAGTCTGAGCCTGGACCAGAGTCTGACCTGAACCAGAGTCTGACCCTGGACCAGAGTCTGACCCTGGACCAGAGTCTGAGCCTGAACCCTGGACCAGAGTCTGAGCCTGGACCAGAGTCTGAGCCTGGACCAGAGTCTGACCCTGGACCAGAGTCTGAACCCTGGACCAGAGTCTGACCCTGGACCAGAGTCTGAGCCTGAACCCTGGACCAGAGTCTGAGCCTGGACCAAAGTCTGAGCCTGGACCAGAGTCTGAGCCTGGACCAGAGTCTGAGCCTGGACCAGAGTCTGACCCTGGACCAGAGTCTGAGCCTGAACCCTGGACCAGAGTCTGAGCCTGGACCAGAGTCTGAGCCTGGACCAGAGTCTGACCCTGGACCAGAGTCTGACCCTGGATCAGAGTCTGACCCTGGATCAGAGTCTGAGCCTGAACCCTGGACCAGAGTCTGACCCTGGACCAGAGTCTGAGCCTGGACCAGAGTCTGACCCTGGACCAGAGTCTGAGCCTGGACCAGAGTCTGAGCCTGGACCAGAGTCTGACCCTGGACCAGAGTCTGAGCCTGGACCAGAGTCTGAGCCTGGATCAGAGTCTGACCCTGGACCAGGGTCCGGTCTGAGCCTGGACCAGGGTCCGGCCTGAGCCTGGACCAGGGTCCGGTCTGAGCCTGGAGCACGGACTGACCTCGATGTAGGCGATGTCGTTGTTGGCTTCTCGGACGGGCGGGTGCCAGTCTTTGGGCGGCTTCACCACGTGTTTCCCGTCGGTCACAAACCAGAGCAGCCGAGGCCAACCTGAAACAAAACATCATCAGAGGAACAAGAACTGGACTAAATCTGACAACATCTGAGAAATAATGACTAAAAAGATCTAATTCAAATTCATGAAAAGTCAAGTCATTTTTACATTTTAATTTTACAAAAAGATCAGATCATGATACAGTCAAATGTAAAATTATTCAAACTCCAGGAAAATTTGGACTTAAAGTTACTTTTACTCAACCAGCAAGTTTTTTCTTGTTTGGAAATGACACAGACGTTTCCCAGAAGATAAGACGATGTACGAGAAGATTAATGTGGAATGTGATATTTCTCAGTTTTTATTTACATTTGATCAAAAAGTGGCATGTCCAAAATTATTCATCCCCTTTGCAAACTGTCACAATTTATGTGCATGTTTGTATTCCACAGATTTGTACGTGACCAAACAGTGCTGGTACCGCAACTTTAAGTGTACCTTTAAACATGGCATATCTTTAAACATGTACCTTTAAACGTGGCATACTTTAAACCTTTAAACGTGGCATACTTTTAAACATATTGTACCTTTAAACGTGGCATACTTTTAAACATATTGTACCTTTAAACGTGGCATACCTTTAAAACATATTGTACCTTTAAACGTGGCATACTTTTAAACATATTGTACCTTTAAACGTGGCATACCTTTAAACGTGGCATACTTTTAAACATGTTGCACCTTTAAACGTGGCATACTTTAAACATGGCATACCTTTTAAACGTGGCATACTTTTAAACATTGTACCTTTGCATACCTTTAAACGTGGCATACTTTTAAACGTGGCATACTTTTAAACACATTGTACCTGAAAGTGTCATGTACCTTTAAACGTGGCCACCTCTCCGGTCTGGGCTTTGGGCAGACCCTTCTGACAGGCGTCTGTGGTCAGGGCCAGACTCACGCCACAACTGCCCAGTAAGAAACCCATCTGCTGACTGCCCGCGTCCTGCACACACAGTCGGGGATTTAAGGGATTGTAAAAGTGCACGCGGTCGACCACATCCGCCAAAAAACATCAGTAAACAAGTCAATATTTTTGGGTCAAATGTAAAACTTTTTAAACAAAACGGTACGGCTTTACTCACCTCCATTTCACATGTTTGGAAAACGCTGGATTTGTCATTCATTACTAAATAAAATATTGCACTTGCCCTTTCAAACTTTCCACTTAAATTAAGTGTCTGGCGCCCTCTGCTGGCCGGAGTAAGGAGTGACAACCAGGAAGACGTTTGGAAACACGCAAGGACAACTCCCGCTGTACCTCCTGACACTGGGCTAAACCAATTTGACCATTTTGATCCGTTTGTTTCGGTATTATTATTCATTTGTTTCGGTAAAATACACAAATGCTGCAAAAAAAACGACCAAACCCCGAAGAAAATGTGACTATACTGACTCACCGAGTGCAGAACAATTTTCCTTACGCACTCGTTTCACAACTTTTTTATTACCAACCACCACAAACCGAGTGTGTTCCAGTTTTTGATTTTGAAATTCTGGTCACCCTCCATCGAAATCACTGAAGTAAATGTGATCAGAGGTAAAATAAACACGGCACACGCATGTAATTTGGCGCCTCGTCTCTTCTAATCACATGAACCCAGTGTCCTCGGAGTCGCGCGTCAGTGGGGAAAAGATGAAAACTGAGGGATGGTTGGAATTGTTGATCAACCGAACGTAACGGAACACGACACCGACATGGAGAAGAAGAAAACGGGGGCATTTTTTTCATTTTTCCTACATTTTGTCAGATTTACTACAGCGAAGAGAACCCAAAGGAAGTTGACTTCGGCGGGATGTTGCCAAACGTTTTCCTGGTTTGTGACGCAAGCGAGAATAGAGACGATAAGAAAAGGATAAACATTCTTCCTTGAAAAATGTATCCAACAACTATCAAGGTAAGAAAGACAAAAGTTTAAAGAGGAACAACGACCAGATCAACAGTACTCAGCTTCTTAGGGCCCAAACTAATTTCCCTCAGCGCCACTAACGGTCGAGGCCTCAGAGCAGTGTGATTTTCTCTCAGTATGACATTAAAAGAGAGTAGTTTACTTTTAAAAAAGAAAACACCATCAAAGTAGAATCTGACTGTCAAATCTATTTTAACTGTCAAATCGTTCCTCCTTTGGTTATACAGTAGCTAGTGTGATTCATCAGTCAGTTTCACTTCGTAGAAACTGTCTGACCTCGCAGCATTAGGATTTGTTCACTCAACGGCAGGTGGGTACTTTTTTTATTTAATCTTTCGCTGACGTATTGTGACGTATGTAATGCACCGCTAATATCTGGGTTTCACGTGACGTCACAGGGCGACGTTTGTCAAAATCAGACGGAGGGCAGGAAGTGAACTGACTGGAGGAAAATGCCGATGTGTTGTGTAGTTTACGTCTGTGCCAATCGTTCTAACCGAGAGAAGGAAAAGCTTTTTTTTTGGAGAACCGAATATAGTCGAACACAAAGGTCAGAAATGGGAAAAGCCGACAGAACAACGCCGTAAAAAGTGGATTACAAACCTGTTTGCGGTCGGGAGGAGCAGAATTCACTAATGCTCGTGTCTGCGGTGACACTTCGACAAAGGTTTGTTACAAAGATAAATTGTTTTTTGTGGTTTACCTAAACATAAACGAATCATTAACGACTAAAGGCGTTTGTTGACATTAAATAGTTCAGATCGAGGTCACTGCTGATACACTGCAGTTTTTCCATAACGTCTATACACATAAAATAAGAGAAACACTCACCCCGGCCAAGACCAAACCATAATCATCATTTAGGCGTTTTGCACCGAGGTTGAGGATCCATCCACTGACAAAAAAAGTTCTATGCCTCCAAACTTTTGTACTTTGCCTTCATCTGTTGTCTGGTGTAGAACGACGTCTGAAGAGTTCAATAGTTGGTGATCTCCTCTGCCTCGATTGTCGGCAAATCTTTTACTTCAGTCGAAAATTCTCTCATTTTCAATAAGATCAGGGTCACGTCCAATATATTTGTCGACTAACTGCTCGTACTTTTGCCTCGTTACTGGCTCTAAATCCTGACAATAAGAACTCTTCTCCATATCTGTGTTCTCCAGAGTCGTGTTTGTTTGTCGTGTTTGTCTTCACTTCCTGCCCTCCACCTGAAATTCGTCATCGTGATCACGTGACTGAAACCCTCCTGTTTATTTTCAAATAAATTCTCGCCAGGTGAGAAAATAAATTTTTGGGCCTGATTGACCCCCCCAAGAGTGTGGGAAAGAAAAAAAAAAATTCTTCAGGTCAATATGACCCCGAGGAGAGTGTGAGGGTTAAAAAAAATAAATAAAAAGTGTAATATGGACCTTTTAAAAGCGCCGAACCTGAGTTTTATCATTTTAAAAGCGTGAAAAACATGAGGACGGGCACAGCAGCAGGTGGTTTACCTTTTTGGTGAGGGGCACTTCGATGGGCACGGGGATGAGCTCTGCCAGGAGACAACCGTAAAACGCCACCATGAACATGACCGGGTCACTGTTGGGGAACACCAGCGCCACCTGCAGACAGAACAGAGTAAAGATCAGGACACTTCTATGGGAGGGTTTCAGATTCTACAGTGTGACAAGAGGCCAGATTTCCCTTTTGATTAAATTATCCTTGGAGTGACTGGACCCAAGAACTCAACCATTACAACTTTTTAACAATGTACATTTGACTGACTGTGTGAAAAACTTTAACTTTTACTCACACGTCTGTTATAAAAAGTCCTTAAAGGTTGTATGGAGGATTTTTTTGTGTTTCAAATTGTCAGTGATAGATTATAGATGCAGGAGCCTTGTAATTATGATGACCAAAAAAAAGAGAATAAAAATTCATCAACTCTGGACGTGGTGGGGCTAAACATTTGCCAATAGATAACGACACTGCCTCGTTATCTGTGAGCTGACAGGCTGTCAATCAAACTCCCTACGTTTCTAGTGTAACTGACTTGCCTGCGCCGCCGGTACGTGGTTTACGTACGACTGTCACACAGTCCACAGACGCAAGACGCACAGACGCTGTTTACTCCACCAACGCAACAGTTCTTTTTTTGACCTATATCTTGCTCGCAGTTCGCACAAACTTTGTTTCAATGACGACAAGAATCCAGGAGCAGTTCGCCGCAAAAGAAAGTCCGTTTTTGAGGTCGCTGAAAGAAGAAGACAAGGGGAAAAGCAGCGAAGCCAAACTAAGGTGATTCTTGAAGATTCATTCCAGCGATGGCGCGACTGAAGCAGACGAAGGGTCTAAAGACTGAACCACTGGTCCACAAATTACTCCTGGACAGGAAACTTCTGCTTATTATGAAAACCTACTTTATTTCCAAGAGCGACACAAACGTTTTTCAGGACACGAAAGCGATATCCTATGTCTGAAAACGTAATTTTCAAGGCAAAGAAAGAGTCCACCTGCTGCTGCGTGTTGTAGTTAGTTCATTCACACTGAATCTCCGCGCAACCTTCTCTGCTCCCCTTTCCTGCTCCTCTCCCCGCTGCCCGATCCACTCTTCCCCCTGCTCCTCACTTCTCCGTCTTGTCTAACCAACACTGTAGTTAGTTGTTTACAAGTCATGTGCAGCGGCTGTAAACAAACCTGTTTGTGGCGTAAGGAGGAGGAGGGAGGAGGCGTTTCTACGTAGGAGCTGTGGGGGAGGGGAGGTGGTTTCACACATGCGCAACATTTGAAAAAGGACAAACAGTCGCTGGATTTCTGTTCCTTGGAAAATCCTCTATACAACCTACTAAACAACTAAATCTGAGTCTTACTCTGTCTCCGGGCAGCAGCAGCGGCTCGTTCCTGGAGCTCAGTTTGTTCATGAGTGTGTAGGCCAATTTCTGACTGCGAGTCCACAGTTTACCTGCAAAAAAACATGAAAAAGTCACACACGGAAGAAAAACACCAACGGTCCTGATGTGGACTAAAGGATCTGAACCCCCTTTAGTCTTTTTTTATTTCTATTTGTTCAAATGAAAAAAAAAAGGTGCTGCTCCAAAATCGAGTGGTGCAAAAAGAAGCATGTAAAAGAAAAAAGAAAATGACACAAAAATGAAATAAAAAGTAATTATAGGACTAAAGGGAGAGTGAGGGGGTCTAGAGTACTAAAGGGGAGAGTAAGGGGGTCTGGAGGACTAAAGGGGAAAGTGACGGGGTCTGGGGGACTAAATGGGACGGGAAAGTGACAGGGTCTAGAGGACTGAAGGGGAGAGTGAGGTGGTCTACAGGACTAAAGGGGAGAGTGATGGGGTCTATAGGACTAAAGGGAAGAGTGACAGGGTCTAGAGGACTAAAGGGAAGAGTGACAGGGTCTAGAGGACTAAAGGGAAGAGTGATGGGGTCTAGAGGACTAAAGGGAAAAGTGACGGGGTCTACAGGACTAAAGGGGGAGAGTGACGGGCGGGGTATACAGGACTAAAGGGGAGAGTGACAGGGTCTAGAGGACTAAAGAGGAGAGTGACAGGGTCTAGAGGACTGAAGGGAAGAGTGATGGGGTCTAGAGGACTAAAGGGAAAAGTGACGGGGTCTACAGGACTAAAGGGGAGAGTGACAGGCAGGGTCTGGAGGACTAAAGGGGATCACAAAACCTGGCTATAATCAGGGCAGTGCTGTGTGATGTCACCAACTACTGGAAATTTAACAGTGGCCACTTTTTTTTTTTATATATATATATTTTTGACCAGAAAGCTCCACATTTACATATTTTGCGCTGAAACTGTTAAAAATATAAATATTAGGAACAAAAGGCAACACTATTAAAACATTATATACACAGTGAAGAAGCAAGAAAGTTGATTTAGAGTTTAGTTCCACTTCAATATAATTTAATTTTGGTTAATTTAATCCACGAACACTTGTAAAAACCATCGTTAAAAAAAGATCAAATAAAACAAAAGTGTAATTCTCGATCCCGTACCGTAGGTGAGCGTGTAGACGGGTTTTCCCGCCGTGTCCAGGGCGGTGAGGCAGGGGGCTTTGGGCTGCGTCGTGCCCCACCTCTGCAGGGCGGCGGTCAGCGAGGGAGGCCAGCCGCTGCCCACCCCCAGCGCCTCCCCCTCCAGCGGGCTCGTCTGCTGCCCCTCCGGCCTGGGCTGGTCCGGGTCCCCCTGCTGGACTGGAGGGAGACACGCACGGTTAGTAACACACATAAATGTAAATACATCGTTAACGAGGGTCCCACCATGTCGGACTTGGCGCTGTAAGAAAAAGGCGAGGTTTAGGGACTGGTATGGCGATGGTATGGAGATGAAAATAACAAAAATATTCATAATTAGGTCAGTCACTGAAAATAAACAGATTAAAGAGTTTGAACCAGATATTTTCACGTAATAAAGTAAAAGCTTTTGCCCCAGGACAGAACTTTGTACGACTCAACAGCTCCAAATCTGAAATCATTTTAATCAACTCATATCAGCAATAATCTTGGTCCAACATCTCCCCTGCTGCCAGAAACCTCCGCGTTATATTTGACTCTCAACTCAACTTCGACCTTCGCATCAAAAAGTCGCCCAATCCTGTTTTCTTCACCTCTGCACAATCAGCAAAATCAAAACTATCCTCTCCCGCTCTGATCTGGAAAAACTCATCCACACGCTCATCTTCTCCCATTTAGATGATTGAAACGCCCTCCTTTCTGGCCTCGACTCCAAATTCATCTCCTGTTTCCGACTGGTTCAGAAGCAGCAGCTCAGTTCCTCACTGGTTTAACAAACATCAACACATGACCCTGGGTTTACTTCGCTTCACTGGATCTTGTGTGTTTTAGAATCGATTTGAAGATTTTACAGATCACTTTTAAAGCTTGTTTAGGTTTTGCACCAAGTTATATTTCAGAACATTTAACCCCGTATGAGCCTTAGATCCTCAGGCAGGTCCTTGTGGTTGTTCTTCAGCCTTAGATCCTCAGGTCCCTGTTGTTCCTCTTCAGCCTTTAGATCCTCAGGTCCCTGTGGCCGTTCCTCTTCAGCCTTTAGATCCTCAGGTCCCTGTGGTCGTTCTTCTTCAGTCTTAGATCCTCAGGTCCCTGTGGCCGTTCTTCTTCAGCCTTAGATCCTCAGGTCCCTGTGGCTGTTCCTCTTCAGCCTTAGATCCTCAGGTCCCTGTGGCCGTTCTTCTTCAGCCTTAGATCCTCAGGTCCCTGTTGTTCCTCTTCAGTCTTAGATCCTCAGGTCCCTGTAGCTGTTCCTCTTCAGTCTTAGATCCTTAGGTCCCTGTTGTTCTTCATCAGCCTTAGTTCCTCAGGTCTCTGTTGTTCCTCTTCAGTCCTAGATCCTTAGGTCCCTGTGTTCTTCTTCAGCTTAGATCCTTCAGGTCCCTGTTGTTCCTTCTTCAGCCTTAGATCCTCAGGTCCTGTTGTTCCTCTTCAGTCTTAGATCCTCAGGTCCCTGTGGTTGTTCCTCTTCAGTCTTAGATCCTCGGGTCCCTGTGGTTGTTCCAAAGTCCAGGCTCCGGACGAAGGTGATGGAGCCTTTTCAGTCCAAGCTTCTCAGCTTTGGAAGGACCTGCCTGAGGAGATAAGACTCGCACCACCAACATCATCTTTTAAATCTCTTCTTAAGACTCATTTTTATCGGTTGGCCTTCCTTTAACTGGCTTTAGCTTATTTTTATTCCTTATTCATTTTTATTCCATTTCTCTTTATTTATTTATTTATTTATAATTTATTGGATTGTTTGCATCTGTTTTTGTACTTTCTGTTTTCTATTTTTATTCTTTTTGTGTTGTTCTTTGCCGCTTGTACAGCACTTTGTAAACATTATTTTTTAAAAGAGCTTTAGAAATAAACATTTATTATCCTTTATTATGAGTCTGTCCACATCCCCAAAGCTCAAAATGCTCTGTTCCACCTTGTGATGTCATGTGGTGGTAGTTTTCTAGTTAACAGCTCCTTTTATTGTTTGATTAGCAAAGATTGGGAATTCCAGTGTTGAAATTAAGATGATTCTAGTGTTTTTGGAGTTCTTCCTACAGTATTTTTGGCATATTTTCACAAAAACTATTTCTTTGACTCATCATAACTACCAACTTCTAAAGGTTTAGTTTAACACTGCTGCTGTTTTTCTCGGTTTCTGGTGCACTCTTTAATTGATTCTCTGTGTTTTCCTGTGCTTCCCGGTCGTGTTCTGGCTCAGAGCTCCAGGTCCGGCTCGCTCCCTCCTCCGCTCGGCCTCGTCCTGCCCAGATCCACGTGGGGAGCTGGACCGGACCTCGGGTTTGGACAGGGCAGGACCTTCTGTTTCCGGAGCTTTCCCCCCCGATCACTGCATGGACCTGGCACTGCCCCGTCGCCCACCGCCGACACCCGGACCCGACCCGGTCGTCTTTCTCTGACCTGGAGCGTTTTGTTAAAGGTCCGACTTTGACCAGATGTTCTGCTTTGTGAGAGTCTGAACAATATTTTCAACACAAATCCTGGATCACACATTCTAGGTTTAGTCCTGGTTTAGACCTGGTTTAGACCTGGTTCAGTCCTGGTTTAGTTCTCGTTTAATCCTGGTTCAGTCCTGGTTCAGTCCTGGTTCAGTCCTGGTTCAGTCCTGGTTTAGACCTGGTTTAGTCCTGGTTTAGACCTGGTTTAGACCTGGTTTAGTCCTGTTTCAGTCTTGTTTCAGTCTTGGTTCAGTCCTGGTTTAGTTCTGGTTTAGTTCTGGTTCAGTTCTTGTTTAGACCTGGTTTAGACCTGGTTTAGACCTGGTTCAGTCCTGGTTTAGTTCTCGTTTAATCCTGGTTCAGTCCTGGTTTAGACCTGGTTTAGACCTGGTTCAGTCCTGGTTTAGTTCTCGTTTAATCCTGGTTCAGTCCTGGTTTAGTCCTGGTTTAGTCCTGGTTTAGACCTGGTTTAGACCTGGTTCAGTCCTGGTTTAGTTCTCGTTTAATCCTGGTTCAGTCCTGGTTTAGTCCTGGTTTAGTTCTGGTTTCCTGGTTTAGTCCTGGTTTCCTGGTTTAGACCTGGTTTAGACCTGGTTTTAGTCCTGTTTAGTTCTGGTAGTCCTGGTTTAGAGTCCTGGTTTAGTCCTGGTTTAGTGGTTAGTTTAGACCCTGTTTACCTGGTTTAGTCCTGGTTTAGACCTGGTTTAGACCTGGTTCAGTCCTGGTTTGGTTTCTGGTTTAGACCTGGTTTAGACCTGGTTTAGACCTGGTTTAGTCCTGGTTTAGTCCTGGTTTAGACCTGGTTTAGTCCTGGTTTAGTCCTGGTTTTAGTCCTGGTTTAGACCTGGTTTAGACCTGTTTAGAGTCCTGGTTTAGTCCTGGTTTAGACCTGGTTTAGACCTGGTTTAGTCCTGGTTTAGTCCTGGTTTAGACCTGGTTTTAGTCCTGGTTTAGTCCTGGTTTAGACCTGGTTTAGACCTGGTTTAGTCCTGGTTAGTCCTGGTTTAGACCTGGTTTAGACCTGGTTTAGTTCCTGGTTTTAGACCTGGTTTAGTCCTGGTTTAGACCTGGTTTAGTCCTGGTTTAGACCTGGTTTAGACCTGGTTTAGACCTGGTTTAGACCTGGTTTAGACCTGGTTTAGACCATTATCCGTTTTTTCCCTTTTTCATTTAAACACAAAATCGAAAACTGAAGAAAAAAAAAAAAAAAGAATCAATATCTGTTTTTTCATTTTGGTTTTGGAGACAAATAATGAAGAAAATTGTTGTTTTTTCTTTTTCTTATTTTTGATTTTATTTTGAAAAACGAATGAACGAACGATACGTGGATTTTATTTATTGCTAGTTTTTAATTTTTATGTTTTTTACTTTTATTGTTTTAGGACTGGTGTGGCCAAATTTTACCGATTTTTTTATTTTTTTGTTGTCGTCATTTTCTGATTTTTGTGCAGCACTTTGGAAACGGCTTTGTTTTTTGAAATGTGCTGTAGAAATAAATGTGGTTTTGGAGGAAATCTTTACTGCTTTGTTACTAGAATTTTGAAGGAAATGTTTAAGAGTCTGAACCAGATATTATGAGTTCTTAATAAAAACTGGACTGAACTGAAGGCGTCTTGTTCAGAAGCAACAAAAAAAGAAAAAAAAATATATAAACGTAACCGTCCCACTTAAAGAGAGGAGCTGCCCCACATTTGGTTCATCTCCATCTGCTCACCCGACTCGACCCCAGCAGCTGCTTTTAGAAAAGCTCCGTCCCGGGGCATTTCTTTTTTTACTTCACCACGTGAAAATAAATCGGGTCCATCCCCTTTAAGACCTTATTTTTTGTGATTCATCTTCCCAACTCCTCACACCGGCTCAGAACTTGTTATTTCTCGTTATTTCTCGTTACAATCCTGTTTTTTTTGTTTTGTTTTTTGTTTTTATCTTACCATCCAACAGATCCTCAAAATCATCCACAAAGAAGTCGGGCAGCGGCGGGCGCTTGGGTCTCTTCAGCGTGTTGAGAAGCTGCTGGATTTTGGAGGAGACGCGACTGTGGACCGGGACACCTACACAATGAGAGCGGACGGATGAAGGAAACATGGGACCATCACAAATATGGAGCTGAAGAGGAGAGGGGGAGGAGTGAAGGAGGAGAGGGGGAGGAGTGAAGGAGGAGGAGAGGACGAGAGGAAGAGTGGAGAGTGAAGAGGGCTGAACTGTTGTGGAGCTGTTGTTCAAGATTTCAGACTCCTATGTAACTTTGACCTGCTTAAATATCAAAACTCATCTTTTCAAACTGGTTTTTAACACTCAGTTCTGCAGTAACACTTTGAACACTTAGTTTTATTTCATTGTTTAACGTTTTGTGTGTTTTTATATTGAGTGGATTTGGACATGAAGCACTTTGGCACTTTCCTGGAGTGTTGTAAACGAGCCAGGCTGGCTCCACCTCGTCATTTCTCTCCAGTGACTGGGTCAGGAATCAGAAAACACTAGATGGTTCGCAAAAACCCCAGAAGTTGTAGCCCTCGCACTGGTCAATCAGCCAAGAGTCAGACATTCTGTGTTGGATTCCCAATTCCCGAGATCGAGGATTTAAAGCCTGAATAAAGAGAATGTTTGGTGAATTTCATCTCGGGGAAAGACGTTATTGTTCTTCTTCCTACAGGATTTGGAGCATTACAAACGTCACGACCAAACAGCAGCGACTGGTTAAATAAAAAAAGTATCCGCCTACTGAGAGAGAGAGGGAGAACGATTCCTAATGCTGCGAGGTCACACGGTTTCCACAAAGTGAAAACCGACTCATTAATCAGGATAATTGTAAACAGTTCTATGAATAAAGTTTCTCTGATTGATTTTCTGGTTCTTCACATTCTTGTTTCCTTTTTTTTTCCCCTGTCCATCCATCCATTTTCTTTCACTTATTGGGAGTCGGGTCTAAACAGTCTAAGTAGGGACTCCAACACTTCCTCCAGCTCTTCTGGGGGGACCTGAGGTGTTCCCAGTCCAGTCCAGAGACATCGTCCCTCCAGTGTGTCCTGGCTCTTCCCTGGGGCCTCCTCCCAGTGAGAGATGGAGGACAGATGCCCTCCCCTCTGAGCTCCTCCCGTGTGACTGAGCTCCTCACTCTGTCTCTAAGGCCAGGCGACACTGTGCGATTTTTGACCCTTTTTGAACCGATTTTTCGCTCGTGCGACTGTTTTGGGGATCGGGCGAGTTTGGCTTTTTGGTGTCGTCGGCTTCGTAGTTTACATGGGGTAAAGAAAACCGATTAATGACTCACGACCAGCTCCCGATCGACATTCGTAGGTCGCAAGAAAATCAGACTTGTTTAACTAGTCGCCTCTCGTGAGGATTTTCGCTCTGTTGAAGTTGTTCACGACGAGCCGATTTGCCAGAATCTGGCAGACTGCGCATGCGCGGACGCAGAAGCGGCTCAGCATTGTGTTTCCGCACATCTGTGGTGTTTCTACTTCCGTGGAAGTTAAACAATTCTTTGACAACTCCGGTTTTTATGTCAAAAACGTACAAGTGTCCAGTCGGTCGCTGCAAGTCGCAATCCGAGCATCGGTTTTCGTTTCAGTGTGAGAACAGGATTCGTGAGCTGTGAACTTTTAAACCCTGTGATTTGGTCGTACAGTTTAAGCTGGGGCTGAGTGACACGACCGACAATATCGCACAGTGTACGACCGGCATAAGGGAGCGAGTATCGTTGATCTGGTCCTTTCGGTCATTACCCAGAGCTCATGACCAGAGGTGAGGGGAGGAACGGACACAGACAGTAAATCCAGACTCAGCTCCTCTCCACCACAACGGTCCGATACAGCGACCGCATCACTGCCCACGCCGCACCTGTCCACCTGTCAATCTCCCGCTCCGTCCTCCCCTCACTCCAGAACAAGACCCCGACAGACTTGAACTCCTCCACTTGACCCTGTGGTCCCCAACCCGGCCCCTCCGACCCCCGACCCAGAAACTCTGTCCAGAAAAACAATGAACAGAACCGGTGACAAAAAAAAAAGTCTATTTGTTTTTATTTTGAACAGTTCAGCCCTCGTGACAGGAGAGTGAGAGGAGAGTGAGTGGTGCAGAGCAGAGTCCACCACCACAGGGTCGCTGGTCTGATTCCTCAACACCACCAGAGGGACAAAAGTGAAACAAACAACGTGCGTGCGCTGAAAAAAGTAAAGTTTTAAGTTAAAATGATACACAAACAACAGAACAGCACTTAAAGGTTCTACAGTATATTAGACTCTTTTCTGATTTATGTTATAACGTAGTTTTCAAACAAACCTGGAGTTGTGTTTTGTTTCAGACGAATAATAAAGAGTTACTCAAACATGTGTGAATGAAACAAAAAAAAAACAACAACAACAACTCCAGGTCTTTAAAATATGCTAAAAAAAAAAAAATCTACCCACAAAAAAACTCTAATAAATTATTCTTAGTTTAAGTGAATATGACTTATGGCTGAAGAAACGGTCCGTGTAGGAAAGCCGTCGGGGTTTGTGTACTGGGCGTGTTTCTGTAGGCCCGGCTGATACTTTACAGTGACATCATCGTGGGTGGGTTCTGCCTGTTTGCCCGTGGAGGAATGTTCAGCAGTTACCACGGTGACACAGTGCACGCGTCAGCAATAACTCACAGACATGTTTTAAGATCGTCTGAAAACCCAAGAAAAAAACACAAAATGGACGTAAAGGGAGCGTGTGGATCAGGAGTTTCAACAAAAAAAGACCTATTACCGTATTTTTCAGACCATAAGGCGCAATATCAATAATGTTGAATTCTCTCGTCTGTTTTCATATATAAGTCGCAGCGGATTATAAGGCGCATTAAAGGTTGTATAGAGGATTTTTTTAAGGGAAGAGAAATACAGCGACCGTCCTCGTGCGCGTTCAGAATCACTGTTGACGTTTCCTGTCTAGAGGTAATTTATCGACCGACGCGTCAGTTTTTAGACCCTTCGTCTGCTTCAGTCGCACCATCGGTGGAAGGAATCTCCAAGAATCACCTCAGTTTGTCTTCGCTCCTTTTCTCCTTCTCTTCTTCTTTCAGCGACCTCAAATACCGACTTTCTTTTGCGGCGAACTGGTCGTGGATTCTCGTCCGACATCTCAACAAACTTTGTGTGAAATGCGAGGAAGCGACAGTTTGAAAAAGCCTCTAAGAACCGCTGCATAAACCACATAATCCCCGCGCGCCGACGGGTCAGTTACACTAGGGAGTTTGATTGACAACCTAACAGCCAGTAGAAAATGAGGGAGCCTTGTTTTCTATTGGCTGATGTTTATCTGTCCTCAACACGTCCACAGTTGATAGATTTTCATTCTTTTTTTTTTTTTGATCATTATAATTACAAAGCTGCTGCGTCTCTGTAATGGTATTTTAAACTTTCATTGACAATTTGAAACAAAAAAAAAATCCTCCATACAACCTTTAAACGAAACGACCGGACGACATTTGAGACAGAAACTAAACTTAAAACCACATGACTCATTTGCATAAACTAATGTCTCTGATAAAAACAGCTCTTTCCTTGTGTCGCTGAGGCGGTTCACAGCTTCTGTCGGACTAAAGGACACGACTCAGTGGAAGACGATGATGTTCTCGTTTAATCTCCTTTAACTCCGGGGACTCTGCGCCAAAATGCCTCAATTCTGTGTTTGCTGTAACCACTCGAATCAAGAGAAAGACAAACTTTTTTTCATTCGTGTACTGAAAGTGTTGTGTCACAACGGAGTTACCGTATTTTCCGGGTCATTAGACGCGGTCTTAAGACTCTAACCGCATCAAAAAACGCCCGCGCAGCACAATCTAGTAAACTACAAAGCCGCAAACACACACGGAGCAGACAGCGACCGCACAACGAAACACACCCACAGACACTCATCACTCCACGCCGACGAGGAACGGAACGGAGGAACGAACTGAAAAAAGCAACGAGCGCGACGTGCCGCTTCTAGACACGACTGAACAACTGAGTCACTGTGAACACGCCGACAATCCGTTGGTCCCAGACACACCCTCCCTACACGAAAGTTTTAAAATGTCAAAAATGACCGATAACGATGGACAAAACTGAAATTTCGTTTACCGAGATTAGAATTTCTGTCGAGATGAATGGAGAACTGTGCTTAAAGAGGAGATATTTTTGGAGCTTTCTCCCATGTTTTAACGTTCCATCGTCTAATAAAAACATGTCTGAAGAGGTTTTAGAGACATCCACGTGTGTTTGAGTAATCTAGCGATCTCTCTGTACGAGATTTCTCCATAAATACGACAGTAAACACGAAAATTCTCCATGAATAATACAAAAACGTGACAGAAAACCGCACTAGATTCGTTAGAGGGGACGCGCGGTGATTGTGTTGTGATGGCGCTCTGAAGGGGGAGCGACTTAGCAGCAAAACTGAAACTTATAAAACACGTTAAGCTGTTGTTGCGGGTGATTATAGCGTTTACAGAACAATAAAAAGAGCTAAAAATGTGAGGAACGAACCGAAAAAGCCACGAGCGCAACGTGCCGCTTCCAGACACGACTGAACAACTGAGTCACTGTGAACACGCCGACAATCCAGCGACAGACACTACTCCCTACACGCCACAACTGAACAAAGCCCAGAGTCACCGTGAACGAACAAACAAACAAAACCACTCACCCATCACACTGTTGGGTTTCCTTTAAAGTCCCACGCGGTTTATTTAAAATTAAAAAAAAGTTCGAAAATAGACCATTTAATGACAGTGACTTATAATCCAGAGCGACTAATAACCCGGAAAGACGAGGAGACACGTCCACACAGGATGATTTAGTCCTGTTAAATCCTGTTTTAGTCCTGTTTTAGTCCCGGTTTAGGCCTGGTTTAGCTCTAGTTTAGACCTGGTTTTAGACCTGGTTTTAGTTCTGGTTTAGACCTGGTTTAGACCTGGTTTCGATCTAGTTTCGATCTAGTTTAGAATTGGTTTTAGACCTGGTTTAGACCTGGTTTTAGTTCTGATTTAGACCTGGTTTTAGACCTGGTTTAAGACCTGGTTTAGATCTAGTTTAGACCTGGTTTTAGACCTGGTTTAGACCTGGTTTAGATCTAGTTTAGACCTGGTTTTAGACCTGGTTTAGATCTAGTTTAGACCTGGTTTAGACCTGGTTTTAGTTCTGGTTTAGACCTGGTTTTAGTCCTGGTTTAGACCTGGTTTTAGACCTGGTTTTTAGACCTGGTTTAGTCCTGGTTTAGTCTCGTTTAGACCTGGTTTTAGACCCTGGTTAGACCTGGTTTTAGACCTGGTTTAGACCTGGTTTAGACCTGGTTTAGATCTAGTTTAGACCTGGTTTAGACCTGGTTTTAACCTGGTTTTAGACCTGGTTTAGTTCTGGTTTAGATCTAGTTTAGACCTGGTTTAGACTGGTTTAGACCTGGTTTAGATCTGGTTTAGACCTGGTTTTAGTTCTGGTTTAGATCTAGTTTAGACCTGGTTTAGACCTGGTTTAGATCTAGTTTAGACCTGGTTTAGACCTGGTTTAGATCTAGTTTAGACCTGGTTTTAGACCTGGTTTAGACCTGGTTTAGATCTAGTTTAGACCTGGTTTAGATCTAGTTTAGACCTGGTTTTAGACCTGGTTTAGACCTGGTTCGATCTAGTTTCGATCTAGTTTAGAACCTGGTTTTAGACCTGGTTTAGATCTAGTTTAGACCTGGTTTAGACCTGGTTTAGACCTGGTTTCGATCTAGTTTCGATCTAGTTTAGAATTGGTTTTAGACCTGGTTTAGATCTAGTTTAGACCTGGTTTTAGACCTGGTTTAGACCTGGTTTAGACCTGGTTTAGATCTAGTTTGTTCCCTGTAGTTTTACTGATTTCATAAATGCCGACCCAAAACTAAACTTTGCTTTTTACTCCACGAGGCTCGTGACGTCGGTCGCCGTTTTCCGACAATCCATCAGCGGTGCGTCTTCGTAGTTTACAAAAGTCGTGCTAAAACAGTTTGACAGTTTTTTGAGCGTCGTGCACCACAGGAAATCGGTTCGAGGTCCGTAAACACAACCGGAATTAAAACATAAGCAGCACTGTCGAGTTTTGAGAAAATTAAAGGATTTTAAGTGTGTCTTATCGTCCGAAAAATAAAGTCTGTTAAAACACAGCTTCAGACAGAGCAGTGCCTCCTGTTAGCATCACGTCCCACATTATTACAGTGTCGTTTCTTGTTCGAGGGCTTCGTTTATTCCCTCCGAGCTGTGAGTTCGGTGTTTTTGGGCACAGGACCTGCTGCTTTGCTCATTAATGTCACCGGAGTCGTCACGGTTCGGGGGAGTATTTTTATTCTGCGGAAAATAGAGCCTCTGTTACCGTGGCAACAGAGGGGTCAGCCCGGCTCGGCGCCAGCGCGAGCAGACGGTCAGCGCTCCGCTTGGATCCAAACCAAAAACCGACCATTAACTTTGCGACGACAAGCCAAGATCTACGGAGAAAAAAATTCAGCAGAGGGCGCAAGGACCACACCTCCACTCTGATAACATCTCCACTGGAAAAGTTACACAATGCTCCTTTTTTTTAACCACTTTGTCTGGAACGTTTCCCAGTGTGACATTAAAACATTCTCTGTCTTCGTGGAGACCAAACCGGACCAAGTTCCAGGTCAGATCTGTGGAGAGGCGACCCCCCGCTCACAGTCACAATGAGGTTTTTCGAGGCGTTTTTGAGAGTTAAATTCACCCGCGATTGAATAAATGTGAAGTAAAGCTGTTTAAAGTCACACTGCGGAACATTCCAGGCAGAGCAAACCAGACAGTTACACAATTGCTGGGTTCAGACGACGTCACGGCCAGTGTTGGGAAGTTTACTTTTAAAATGTAATCCCCTACAGATTACAGATTACACACTCCAAAATGTAGTTTGTAACAGAATCCATTAAATTACTTAAAGTGAGTAATGTAATCTGATTACTTTGGATTACTCGATTTGCTGTAGAGAAACAAAGACGAGGAAATCTTCACATAAAATGTTTTATTTGCTAAAAGAAAATAAAAAGTCCAGATTTTACTGAACCAAATTAAAAATATTATTGATAGAAAACGAAGAAACACGTCCACACAGCAGGATTTAGTCCTGGTTTAGACCTGGTTTAGATCCTGGTTTAGTTCAGTTTAGACCTGGTTTAGACCTGGTTTCCTGGTTTAGACCTGGTTTAGACCTGGTTTAGACCTGGTTTCTAGATCTAGTTTAGACCTGGTTTAGACCTGGTTTTTAGTTTAAACCTGGTTTTAGACCTGGTTTAGACCTGGTTTTAGACCTGGTTTAGACCTGGTTTAGATCTAGTTTAAACCTGGTTTTAGACCTGGTTTAGACCTGGTTTTAGTCCTGGTTTAGACCTGGTTTTAGACCTGGTTTTAGACCTGGTTTAGACCTGGTTTAGACCTGGTTTAGACCTGGTTTAGATCTAGTTTAGATCTAGTTTAGACCTGGTTTAGATCTAGTTTAGATCTAGTTTAGACCTGGTTTAGTTTCCGGCAATGAGTGGAATTACCGAAAAAAAGAAAAAAAAAAGGGGGGATTTAGCCCAAAATGTGAAAACAGTTAAAATCCCTCTGTTTAATCCATTTATTTCAACAAAGTAACTGTAATCCAATTTTACCACTCACTGAAAACAGTAACTGTAACTGAATACAGTTACTCATCATTTGTACTCTGATTACTTAACTCCGGTACTTGTAATCTGTTACTCCTACAACACTGGACACGGCAACGTCACAAAAAGCAGATGGGGTCAAGAAGTAAAGACAGAAGCACAAAACAATGTTTCTCTTCATTGACTCGAATTGAAATTTAAATGAAAAATGGAAAAAACGGAGAACGAACGTTTCCAGTTTATGTGACTGAACCAGGACTGATCCAGGTCCGGGACCAGACCAGACCAGGATCAGACCAGGATCAGACCAGGATCAGACCAGGACAGACCGGGACTCGGGACTCGACCAGACCAGACTGAGACCAGACAGACAGGATCAGACCAGGGACAGGATCAGACCAGACCAGACCAGACCAGACAGACAGGATCAGACCAGGACCAGACCGGGACTCGGGACTGAGACCGAGACCGAGGCCAGGACTGAGACCGGGACCAGACCGGGACTGAGACAGACCAGACCGACTCGACTGACGGGATCAGGCTCGGACCCGCAGAGGCTCAGAGTCAAAGCTCGGAGTCCGGCTCTGGTTCCGGACCTGGTCCAGTCCTGGTTCAGTTCGGCATCGCAGTCACGAAAGTCACGTAAACGGGAAACGTCCTGTTATCCGTTTTTTCCATTTTTCATTTAAACAAAAAGTCGAAAACTGAAAAATTGAATCATTATCTGTTTTTTCATTTTGGTTTTGGAGACAAATAATGAAGAAAACTTCTTTTTTCATTTTCTTATTTTTGGTTTTATTTTGAAAAACAAATGAACGAAGTGACACACGGATTTGGAATCATGACTCACTGAGCTCGACCCATCGACATTACAAATGTCACGACCAAACAGCAGCGATTGGTTAAATAAAAAAATACCTGTCTACTGTCGAACGAACGAATCCTAATGCTGCGAGGTCACACGGTTTCCACCAAGTGAAACCAGCTGATCAATCGTTCAAACTTTTTAGCGAACTGTCACTTCCTGCCCTCGTCAGAATTTCAGTAAAACCCGGCGATAAACCTTTAAACATCTGCACAGTGTAATAACATCAGCGAGTAGAAACTTCTTTGTCCTCACCATCAGCGGTCTCCATGACGACGTGGTTGTTGCCGCGGGAGACGCCTCTGACGGACAGGACCTGGGCGCGGTCGGCGAGGTGGGCGGGGCGTTCGGACAGGCCCGTCACGTCCGGGGGGGCGGAGGGCGGGTCTGAGGAGGAAGAGGAGGAGAGACACAACAGGTCAACCAAAACACAGACTCGAGTCAACTTCAGGTCATGACCGCATCAAAAACACGACCTGGAGTCACTTTATTATGAGTCTGTCTACGTCTACAAAACTGAGAATGTTCTGATCCACCTTGTGATGTCATGAAGTCGAAGGTGGGCCCTGGATTAGTCAAAGTTTAGGGTTTAGTCCAGGTTTAGTCCTGGTGTAGTTCTGGTTTGACCTTGGTTAGTCCTGTCTTAGTCCCGATTCGGTCCTGTCTTAGTCCAGGTTTAGATCTGTCTTTGTCCTGGTTGAATCCTGTTTTAGTCCTGGTTTAGTCCTGGTTCAGTCCTGTTTTAGTCCTGCTTTAGCCCTGAATTAATAAAAGTTTAGTCCTGGTTTAGTCCAGGTTTAGTTCAGGTTTAGTCCACGTGTAGTTCTGGTTTGACCTGATTTAGTCCTATCTTAGTCCTGGTTTAGTTCTGTCTTAGTGATGATTTACATTTGGATTAATCCTGCTTTAGTCCAGGTTTGGTCCAGGTTTAGTCCTGGTGTAGACCTGCTTTAGTCCTGTTTTAGTCCTGGTTCAGTCCTGCTTTAGCCCTGGTTTAGTCCTGTTTTAGTCCTGGTTTAGTCCTGCTTTAGTCCTGGTTTAGTCCTAGTTTAGTCCTGGTTTAGTCCTGGTTTAGTTCTTCTTTAGTCCTGGTTCAGTCCTACTTTAGTCCTGGTTTAGTCCTGTTTTAGTCCTGGTTCAGTTTTAGTCCTAGTTTAGTCCTGTTAGTCCTGGTTTAGTCCTGTTTTAGTCCTGGTTGAGTCCTAGTTTAGTCCTGGTTCAGTCCTGGTTTAGTCCTGTTTTAGTCCTGGTTCAGTCCTGGTTTAGTCCTGTTTTAGTCCAGGTTGAGTCCTGGTTCAGTCCTGGTTCAGTCCTGGTTTAGTCCTGTTTTAGTCCTGTTTTAGTCCAGGTTGAGTCCTAGTTTAGTCCTGGTTCAGTCCTGGTTCAGTCCAGGTTTTTAGTCCTAGTTTTAGTCCTGGTTCAGTCCTGGTTCAGTCCAGGTCCTGAGTCCTGGTTAGTTTAGTCCAGTTTAGTCCTGTTTAGTCCTGGTTCAGTCCTGGTTTAGTCCTGGTTCAGTCCTGTTTTAGTCCTGGTTCAGTCCAGTCCTTTAGTCCTGGTTCAGTCCTGGTTTAGTCCTGTTTTAGTCCTGTTTTAGTCCTGGTTGAGTCCTAGTTTTAGTCCTGGTTCAGTCCTGGTTCAGTCCTGGTTTAGTCCTGGTTTAGTCCTGTTTAGTCCTGGTTCAGTCCTGGTTCAGTCCCTGGTTTAGTCCAGGTTGAGTCCTGGTTCAGTCCTGGTTTTAGTCCTGGTTCAGTCCTGTTTTTAGTCCTGGTTTTAGTCCTGGTTAGTCCTTTAGTCCTGGTTCAGTCCTGGTTTTAGTCCTGGTTAGTCCTAGTTTTAGTCCTGGGTCCTTTCAGTCCTGGTTCAGTCCTGGTTCAGTCCTGGTTCAATCGAGGTTTAGTCCTGTTTTAGTCCTGTTTCAGTCCTGGTTTAGTCCTGGTTTAGTCCTGATTTAGTCCTGTTTAGTCCTGGTTCAGTCCTGGTTCAGTCCTGGTTTCAGTCCTGTTTTAGTCCTGGTTTAGTCCTGGTTCCGTCCTGGTCCAGACACTGACCGATGTGCGTGTGCGCCATGAGGTCGGCGAGGGCGGCGGCGGTGGCGTTGGCGTTGAGGGCGCTGTGGGGGGCGCCGTGGGGGGGGCCGTGGGCGGGGCCGGACCTGCCGCCGGGGAGCGAGGACGTGGACGAGGCCGAGGACGAGGTGGACGAGGTTCCCTGGATCACGCGGTTGAACCAGTGCTCGACCGTGGGGGGGGCGTGGGACAGGGCCTGGAACGGCGTGGACGTGACGCGGCCGTGGCGACGCAGCGAGCCCTCGTCCTCTGAGGCCGACGAGGTGTCTGGGGAGAGGGAGGGCGGACAAACACAACGAGACCGAGTTAAACCAGGACTGGACTCGTTTTGTTACTCAACATTAAAGATACACGATGGGACATTTGAGGTGGAGAAAAACAGTCTGAGATGTTCCACAGCAGAACATTAAAAACAACACTTTCATACTAGTCCTGGTTTAGTCCTGGTTTACACCTGGTTTAGTCCTGGTTTAATCCTGGTTTAGACCTGGTTTAGACCTGGTTTAGACCTGGTTTAATCCTGGTTTAGTCCTGGTTTAGTCCTTGTTTAGACCTGGTTTAGTCCTTGTTTAGATCTGGTTTAGTCCTGGTTTAGACCTGTTTTTTGTTGCTCAAACTTAAAGCTGCATTATGTAACTTCTAAGATGGAGAAATGCAGCCTGGAAAGTTCCGCAGTGGGGCATTAAACATACATCTGTCCTTTTCCTTTGTCCAGGCTTAAAAAATCCTTAAAAACAAAAAATTCTGTCAGAAAAAGACAATAAATAAATAGATGGAAGGAAAAAAAACCACACATTTTTTATCCTGTTCAGGCTCGCTTCTCCACAGATCTGACCTTTAGCCTCAGTGTTATTTTGTGGAGGTAGTGTAAGAGCTGTCGGAAAAGTTCCACAGTGCAGCTTTAACAGAGTTTGGAGAAGTGAAAGAACATTGTTTTTATCGTTTTATGAAACCGCAGTCGTGTTTGTAAAAAGGTCAGAGTCTGGACTTTGTTCCATCTGATTCTGAAACTCGAGTCTGAAAACAACAGACGCTTTTCTACAAAACAAAGAACTCACACACTTCAACACAACACAACAACACAACACACAACACAACAACACAACAACACAACAACACAACAACACACACAACACAACACACACAACACAACACAAAACAAAGACAACACAACACACAACACAACAACACACACACACACACAACACACAACACACACAACACAAACACAAACACAACACACAACACAACACACACAACACACACACAACAACACAACACACAACACACACACACACACAACACACACACACACACAACACACAACACAACACACAACACACACACACAACAACACAACAACAACACACACACAACAGACGCTTTTCTACAAAACAAAGAACTCACTCATGAACCTGTGCGTCACTTCAACAACACAACAACACTGCTGTGTCCACAACAATCCACTTCGATCTTTTAACACAACAAAATACTTGGCAGCTTCATTCACTTCACACTCTGTGGTGTTAAGACTATTGCAGCCACAGCTGCCCTGGGACAGACTGATGGAATGAGGCTCTAGATCAGCAGTGTTCACACTTTTACATCATGTGACCTACTTACAAAATGACCAAGTCAAAATGATCGACCTGATACAAAGTCAAACAAACTGCACTGAAACACTCTGTGGCCCTTTTCTGGACCCTCCCCCACAGTTTGAGAACCTCTTCTTTAAGAGAACTTCCTCTGACACTTTACACAAAACTGTGAAAAAAGTGAAGGAAGATTTTTAAACCTGTTTTTTAAAGTTCCAAACTGGAGTTTCATTCTTTTCTGGTTTTGCAGTGATATTTACCAGCCTCTGCACGTTTACCAAACCAAACGCACATCGTGACAAACACAGATGCATTTGTCACTTTTGTTAGACAAACTTCAGCCAAATGTGGCAGTAGGTCTGTTCTGTAGATCCGCTCTATGCTGTAGACCTGCTTTGTGCCAACACTGGAACACAAATTTAGACTGGTTTTTGCTTCACGTTTGGTCTTGTTCTTCTAATCAGCCGCACTGTGGGAGGGGCTTGTGTTGGCTGTACGCAGGAAGGAGCGAGAGCGTGAAAAGGCGAGGGGCGGCGTGCTGACGTGAGGCAGATGGACAGGTAGGATGTTTAGGAAGTTGAACCTGCCCTGTGATGCACGCTGGTACACGAGGGCACACGCTGTCGCAGACGAGCCGTGCATAGGGAGCGTGTGTGTTTGTGATGCGCCGTAGAGTCTCCGCGGGTTTCAAATGAGCGCACAGGCTGCACTGAGACGCCCCACACGCTCCTGCACCCGCTACAAGTTTATTACCAACAGCAGCGGCCGGAATGAAATATGATCACACTTGTTGAGTGTCAGACCTCGAGTGAGAGACAAGACCGAGTCCAAACACGAGTCCGAGACGAGACACGACGATCTACCCACACGACCTTGGAGATCGACTGGTAGATCATGATGGACGTACTGAGCACCACTGGGCTACACCATCGGCCCCTCCAACCATCAACACTCACACACCACATTCATACTAGGCAATGTGGGGGAAGTGTCTTGCCCCAGGACACAACAACAGTTTTGTCCCCCTGTGGCACCTGCTGCTCCCAGACGTCTCCCATCCAAGTCCAGACCCGGGCTGGTGTGTGTGTGGTACAGACACAGAGTGTCTCACCTGGAGGAGTACAGGCCTCCACAGACGACTGCACGAGCACCGAGCGCCTCTTGGAGGGCATGGGCATCTTCCTCTCTTTGTATTTGGCCAGAGCGGCTTGGACAGCTTCAGTGTGCAGGTCTGAAGACAAAAACAAAACAGAAACGTCAAAGATCTGGAGTCGTCTGTCATCACGTTTGACTCTGTTCAAGTTTATTATGATCAAAATCCAGATGTTTGGAGTCGGCTCATTCTGTTTTCTTAAACCAAAACAACAAATGATAACAAAAATAAAGAAACCAGCATGTCCAGTGTTTTTGTCATTAAGAATAAATCAGCATTAGAATTGTTACCAATAAATGTGTTATTAGGTTCTTTTTTTCAGACCTAGAGTTATTTCATCCCTGACAGTTTGGACTGTTCACCAGCGTCTCCCTCAGAGTCACGTGATGTTTCTGTGTCGTGTCCAGTCAGATGATTTAAACAGGTTTTGTCTCTGTCTTCCTACCGGTGGAGGCAGGACGACAGCGCCACCTGCAGTCCCACTTCCTCAGGACAGAATCCCAGGTGTGTGAGAGTAAAAAAGCCCCTCGTCCCGGTTTACAGTCCTGTGGGCACGTTTCCGTATTTCGATTGCTTCTTTAAAGGTTGTATAGAGGATTTTCCAAGGAATGAGAAATCCAGCGACTGTTTGTCCTTTTTCAAATGTTGCTCCTGCGTGAAACCACCTCCCCTCCCCTACAGCTCCTACGTAGAAACACCTCCTCCTTACGCCAGAAACAGGTTTGTTTCTAGAAAACAAGTACATGACTTGACTCGCTGCACATGACTTGTAAACAACTAACTACAGTGCGTCTAACAGACCAGTGGTTCAGTCTTTAGACCCTTCGTCTGCTTCAGTCGCGCCATCGCTGGAATGAATCTCCAAGAATCACCTTAGTTTGGCTTCGCTGCTTTTCCCCTTGTCTTCTTCTTTCAGCGACTTCAAAAACGGACTTTCTTTTGCGGCGAACTGCTCCTGGATTCTTGTCGCCATCGCAACAAACTTTGTGCAAACTGTGAGGAAGATATAGGTCAAAAAAGCCGCTAAGAACTGTTGCGTTGGTGGAGTAAACAGCGTCTGTGCGTCTTGCGTCTGTGGACTGTGTGACAGTCGTACGTAAACCACGTACCGGCGGCGCAGACAAGTCAGTTACACTAGAAACGTAGGGAGTTTGATTGACAGCCTGTCAGCTCACAGATAACGAGGCAGTGTCGTTATCTATTGGCAAATGTTTAGCCCCACCACGTCCAGAGTTGATGAATTTTTCTTTTTTTTGGTCATCATAATTACAAGGCGACTGCATCTATAATCTATCATTGACAATTTGAAACAAAAAAAAATCCTCCATACAACCTTTAATCCAGCGGCGATGTTTGTTCTCCTCTGTCCCAATGATGTTTGCTCGTTTTGCTTGTTTTGTTTCTCGTGTTTCGCCTTCGCTGTTTCCTTCTCGCATTCTGTTCTATGTTCCTTTTTTCGTGTGCTGAACGCCCTCCCTGTTTCCCTGATGTGTCTTTTATTGCAGGACATGCAGGGTCTTTCGTATATGACGTTACATTTATGCTCCGGTTCTATTTTGTCTTTTGGGTGGACGAGTAGTTGTCTGAGTTTTCTGTACGGTTTCACTGGTGTGTTGATATTGAAGCAATCGAAATACGGAAATGTGCCCACGGGACTGTAAACCGGGACGAGTTGCTTTTTTACTCTCACACACCTGGGATTCTGTCCTGAGGAAGTGGGACTGCAGGTGGCGCTGTCGTCCTGCCTCCACCGGTAGGAAGACAGAACCAAAACCTGTTTAAATCAGCTGAGTGACACAACACAGAAACATCACGAGACTCTGAGGGAGACGCTAGTGAACAGTCCAAACTGTCAGGTATGAAATAACACTCTGGGTCTGAAAAAAAGAACCTAATAACATAGAATATCGGAAGACCAAATGAATCTCATTGGACTGTTACCAATAAAGTTCTATTTGATTGGAACACGTTTACTTCATATCTAGAGGCAGATAAGTCGAGTTAATGACATTTTAAATCAATATCTTACATACAGTTTCTTTAAGTAGAACTAATAACTCTCGCGTTTACCTGATCTGAAGCGCTCATCCCGGGAGTTGGGGGCGCGGCTCTTGTGGTGTTTGACGGACAGGAGCTGCGATGACCCCTGACCTCTGGTGTCGATCTGCAGCGACGGGTCTACTCCTGCGAAGAGACAGAGAAAAAAACAAAACAGAACAAAACAGATTAATTTCATATTAACATGTATATTAAATCCAGTTTGGAGGCGTGTGAAGCGAACGCACGACCAAACAGACGACCAAACATTCAGCCTCCATGTGGCGTCTTTGTATTTTGACTTTTTTACAATGATGTTCAGTTCGAGAGGTTTCATCTCACACATTTCAGTCATTTATAGAAAACAAAAGGCTCAAAAGCAGCACTACCTCATACTGTTGGAGAACTTGAAAGATAAAACAGAACAGTAGGTTATAAGTTTGACCTTTCTGTCCCATATTTTGAAGCTGGGTCCAGTCAAGTGTTAACGGAGGAAACAGGGTCAGATTTTTGACATTCAAATATCTCTATTATTCAGAAACTAGAGGAACTATTGAAATAAGTAAAGTATCAGAATGTAGGAAAGAGTTACACTCCAACAGGGTCAAGTTAAACCTGTGAGATTCTTTCAAGTTCAAGACAAAAAATGTAAAAACTCATGTCGGTAACGGAGGGAATGAAATATGCAGCACTTTTTGGTCAATAAATCCAAACAGTGATAACTCTTGGTTCTCACTTCCATATCCTTAACAAACTGGTTTGAATATTTGCTTCATATAGTTTTCTACCATATGGTACAAGATTAGGTTGAAAAACCTCTGACTTTTTGACTCATGAGATTTTTTATTAAGAAAGTTCATGGTAACGGAGGGAAAAGTAACGGAGGGAAAATTGTACAAACAAGTAGAAGGTGCAGGATTTTACATCATTTGTCGCTTTTTTCTTCTGAAAATTTTAATATTACTTCAAAATGAAAGGAAACTATTTCTATAAAATATGTCAGTCCTTCCAAGAACATTTTTATCATTTTAAATACTTTTTTTTTTTTAATCCTGTCCCTTCATCAACAGTTCAAAGATGGAATAACACAAGATATGATGAAATACAAACATTTATTGACATGATTTTTGGTCTTTGAAATTTGGGAAATAATTTTTGTTCCATGTTTCATTACATGGTCTGTTTTAAAACATATGGAACTTTAGAACCAAAAATGGTCCAGAAAAAAGGTCAACAGTTTGATAAACTCGAGTACATATGTATCTGTTCAATACATTTTTATATCAGATGAATTCACTTGAATTTTTGGCCTTGTTGTTTACTTACAGAGTTTTTGTCAGTATTATCCAGTCTGTTCAGTCTGGTTTGGATCTGACTGAAAACCAGACCATGTGTAATCAGTCGCTATTACTACTGGATTACGGCTCCACAGTCTGATTTATATATATATATATTATTTATTATTAATATATATTTTTTGCCTCAACTGTACATTGTAGCTTTAACATGCAGCACGTTTCTGTTTTAGAACGATTTCTGAAGACCACGTAAATCCACAGCGAAGAGAAAATTCAGTTTGTCGACTGGACAAAAGTTAGTTTGGTTGAAGACGTTTCTCAGTTCGTCCAAGCTGCTTCTTCAGTTCTGGTCAGACGCTGGTGACACTTCCTTATATCTGCAGGGAGGAGCTAACTACACTGAAACTACTCTGAAACTAACACACACTTGTTTACAGTTTCTGTTAGTTATGTGCAGGGTTTTGGGTCTAATTAACAGAACAGTTCATGGTCATAATGGAGCTTCCACACCTCTGGTCCTGACCTGACTACACCTGTTGTTCTTGTTTGTTTTGATTTAGGTTTGAGGATGGACGTGTAAACAGGAGATAGATGGTGTCTCTCTAAATCATCAATGCACCAACACAGACGAGAGAGCAGCAGTGGACCTCAGTCTGCTGTACAGCTTCACTTAAAAGCCACGGGTCACTCGTTTGAGGACAGTGAGGTGCAGATTGTAGCCAGAGAAAAGAACTGGTTTGAGAGGGGAGTGAAAGAAGCCGTTTTTGTTAAGAAAGAGAATCCTTCTTTAAACAGAAATGGACTCAGACACCATCTGTCTCCTATTTACACGTCCATCCTCAAACCTAAATCAAAACAAACAAGAACAACAGGTGTAGTCAGGTCAGGACCAGAGGTGTGGAAGCTCCATTATGACCATGAACTGTTCTGTTAATTAGACCCAAAACCCTGCACATAACTAACAGAAACTGTAAACAAGTGTGTGTTAGTTTCAGAGTAGTTTCAGTGTAGTTAGCTCCTCCCTGCAGATATAAGGAAGTGTCACCAGCGTCTGACCAGAACTGAAGAAGCAGCTTGGACGAGCTGAGAAACGTCTTCAACCAAACTAACTTTTGTCCAGTCGACAAACTGAATTTTCTCGTCGCCGTAGATTCTACCTGGACGACTGAGGGATTCTTCACACACATAAACACATGTCATTCCTTGCAACACATTACTGCATGTTATCGAATCTCATTATTTATTTTATGTTATGTGATTGTAAATACTTTGTGTCTGTACATTTCAGAGTTTCACGACTCGGTGTTTAAGGGGTTTGAGGAACTCTGCTGTAAAAAGTGTGCAAAAATGTGTTTCCCGAAGAAAAAAAGTGGATTACAGTATATTTTTTTGTGTGATTTTCTATCTATTTGGAGGTAAATGAACACTTTAACATTTAAATTTTGTTCATTTTATTTTTATTTATAATTTTGGAACATGTCCTCTGTAATGTGTAATGGACTCCGGGGACATTTTGGTTTTAAATCCACGTGAAGTTACCGACTGAATAAAAAAAACTTTTATCTCTGACGAGCTTCTACGCTCCCTTTTAATTTTATTTTTTTCTTATCATAGTGCAGCCACAAACTAACTCCTATTGATTTTTTTAATTATCCAGGACATGGTAGTTCCCTACAATCCCCCAGCCCTGTTTAGTTTAGACAGAGAAACCTCGTCTCCTCGTTTAAAGTCTCGCTCAAAACGCTTAAAAGATCGACTGGTTTACAGTGTCCACTAAAAAGGACAAATGAACTGGCTGAGTCTCAGGAGGATATAAAAATCTGATCCATTATGAAATTTTCACCAAATAATTGTGTCCAAAATCTTACTCCATGGACAAAAAAATTGACTTTGGAACAAAATAAAAAAAAATAAAAATCTTTTAGGCAAATCCACAAGTGCAGTCTTACTAATTAAATACTTTTTCTGCAGTGGAGTCAGAAAATCTCACCAAATAAATCACGGCATGGACAAAGAATTCTGTTTGTAAAAAAATACTGAGAAATTTCTTGAAACAAATCCAAAAATCAAGTTCTACAAACATAAAAATTCGATATTATACAATTCTGAACTTTTCTAATGTTTCCTGGAGTTGTGTTTTGTTTCGTTCACATGTTTAACTCACAAACCCTTAATATTGAGAGTGAGTTCTTCTCTCAAACTGAAAACACTCTGTTCCACCTTGTGATGTCATCATGTGGTGATACAGGAAGTGCTCCACTGCGTTTTTAAACTCCACACACCTTCACTAGAATCATTTGGATCATTTCAGTCCTGGAATTGCCGATCTTTAGTACCGTATTTTTCGGACTATAAGTGTCACTTTTGTTCCTGGTTTGTGTGTTTCCTGTGACTTATTCTCCGGTGTGACTTCTATATTAAAATGTTTTTGGTGAAGTGTGGAGAGGTTCTAGTCTTGTGTGTGAGTATCTGCTGCTCCTGTTCCTCCTGCACCACTGTCACTTGGCTCTACTGCGCATGTCTCCTGCAGAAAGAGCCTCTGTCCTGTCTGTATCATGTCAGTCGATCGCACCGTTACTTCTGCACCACTGAACAATTTAACATTTAAACTTTAAACTTATAAAGACAAAGACTGAGAAGACTGAACACAAACGCCCCCAAAAAACAAAATCAGATTCTGCAGATTACAAACTGCGAGTCGTGAAATCTGCAGCTGAAAACGGAAATCGAGCAGCGGAAAGAAAGTTTGGAGTGAGAGAGAAACTTGTGACACCGGGAGGATGAACCATGAAACTTTCCTGAAGTCACTGGACGGATGGACAAAAATCTGTGTATCATTTGTTTTTCAAAGCCAAAATGAAAAAACAGATAATGACTAGTTTTTTTCAGTGGATAACGCCCGTTTCCTGTTAATGTGGCTTAAACTGCAACACCAAACCAGGACTGAATCAGGACTAAACCGTTTTCAGTCCTGGTCTCAGTCCCGGTCTGGTCCGAGTTTGGAGTGAGAGAGAAACTTGTGACACCGGGAGGATGCACCATGAAACCTTTCCTGAAGTCACTGGATGGATGGACAAAGTCTGGACTTCAGTGACACCGAAACCATCCTGTCGAGATTCAGAAAGACACGAAATAATTCTAATAATTAATAAATCTAATAATTTTCCTCTGGAGGTCGAGGCCGAGTTGTTCAGAAGTGACACCGAGGATGAAGAATTGAATGGATTTAGTGATTTGGAGTGAGATGGAGAGTTTGGTTAAACTTGTTCTGTTGTTTATGTTATAGTTTATCTGAAGAACTGTTCATATGTGACGTTAACAGTCTGTTCTTCTCTCTTCTATTGTTTTTACTACAACTTGACTTTACACAGGAAATGTCTGCTCCTGATCTCTCAATTTATAAAATAAATTTCCCCCAAAAAGTGCGACTTATATGTTTTTTTCTTCTTCATTGCACATTTTTTGGCTGGTGCAACTTATAGTCCAAAAAATACTGTAAACAAAAAGGAGCTGTTCACTTGAAAACCACCACCTTCATGACATCACAAGGTGGGACAGAGCGTTTTGAGCTTTGCAGATGTAAACAGACTAAAAATAAAGAGTTACTCAAACACGTGTGAATGAAAAACACAAAAAAAACACAACTCCAGCTCTGTTTTTTCCTGTTTTTGAGGAGGTCACATTGTTTTTTTTTTTCATTCTGTAAATACTTCTCGGATCACGGTTTCTCCCGAGCGCCTCGGGATGTAAATGGATTTTGTTTACGCCGCTCGAGGTGAGACACGGGCAGGTGCGGCTTAAATTCATGAGGACGGAGCTGGACCAGTGAGAGGAGAGCGAGTCGAGGGG